TGAAAAATAAAAGATGTTTAATTTATTTATTTTTAATTCCTTGACCTAGGTTGTGATAAATTAGTGTCCCCAAGATGAGTAGGTCGAAAAGAGAAGCATAGCCCCTACTAAGTATCATTATTAAACCTAACGAGAAGCTCCGGCAAGTGTGATGTACACAGTTTGTAGTTGTATATTTTTTTCGTCGATTAGTTAACAGTTACTTTGGTCGTTATACTTTTTGGATTGCTCTGCTCTGCACTGCACTGCACTAATACACCTACCATTTTACCTTGATTGGTGGGATTAGAATACTTTCTTTTAAATGCACTTTTTTTTTCTTCGGTCTTAGTCAACACTGTGCACCTGTGCGTCTGCGCATGTGTCGGTCATGCAGAGAGAGAGAGAGAGAAAGGAAAGGGAGAATTCAAAATAGAACATAGAAATATGTAATCATATATATCAATATCAACTCTTCTGCACTTGCTTTCGCACAGACCAGATTCACTGATTTGGTTCTGTGAGGTTTACAGGCGGAGGTTGTAATCATACAAAAGTAGACCAAATCAGAAACCCCAAAAGACAAATAGTGGAAAAGAGTGTTAAAAGACTGAAGAAGGAAAGAAAAGAATAGAATGGAGGAAGGAAATCATAGGAAATATACATCCTAGCTAAAGAAATGACCATAGTTAATTAATTAATAAGGCCATTCATTCATTCATTCTCTTTCCCCTTCCCTCCCTCTTGCTTCATTTTTAATGATTTCGATTTGGTTTGGTTGGTGGAGGGGTCATCATAATCATTCATAATCAGCAACGGGAACCCTTCCTGCAGTTGAGTGCACCCGCATTAGTGGTAATGGACCCCACCAGTGAAGATGGCCTTGCACTCAAGCTAGAAGCTCTTGCATAGCTAGAGGAGGCTCCTGCTCCTGATGCTGTGAAAAACGCACCGTTTACCATTAGGTCCCCTTCAGACCTCCAATTCCACCCTTTCCATTCACTCTCTGGTGCATCCTCATGCTTTGTCACCTGCACAAATTTCACATAATGCATGAGATCATTTTAACAAAGCTACTAAACTCAACCTAATGTTTATTTGGGACTAGGAAGAGTTAATACCTCTTTACTGAATCTGTCATTGGGTGCAACAAACCTATTGCCTTGACTGTTGATGGTTGGGTCAGCACTTCCTCCAATGGCATACATTTCCCAGTGGGTGTAGTCATTGTTCACCACATGAAAATATCCATGCCTACACCTGCACGCATCAACAACATTTTTTCTTCTTTCAAATTTCATCACTAGTGGCCCCACATAATTGCAAAAGTAACAACGCACAGTCACTCACTCCAGCCATTTTCAACGTGACTATTTCCCTCCCTCTTTTCTCAAAATTTCACTGGCAAAGCAATTTTGGAAAATGGAACAATATTTTACTTTACTTTACTTTACTTTTTACTTTACCTTGGCATCCTTTGGACGAGGCCTTCCCCAAAGTGGTTGAAAGCAATTGTGACCTGCATGTTCTTGTCTTGAGTGTAGGAGTCGCTGTGGCCCAAAAGCATGACTTTATCGTGGTGTGTCATGTAATTGTTGGAGATGGTAATGGCGGTAGACCCATGAATGGCATCGATCAACCCATCATTGCAGTTAGACAAGGAGCAATGGTCAACCCATATGTGGCTTCCTCCAAAGATGGACACGCCATCACCGTCCGATACGGTCCTCCACCCGTAGTGCCGTGGGGAGTCCCGCACCATAGCATTCCCCCCTTGCTTACAGTCATGAATATTTATCCCGTGGATTATAACATTCGTCACATACTGTATCGTAATGCATGGACCACCCGCAATGTGCACGCTAGCGCCTCTTCCATCAATCGTCTTGAACGAGTTCATGATCAGCTCCTCCTTCAGCTTAATCACCATGTCCCTCGCGAATATGATCCAAAGAGGCTCGTCTTGAATCACCGCGTAACGGAGTGTCCCCGGCTTAGGTGTCACCGGGTCATCGTCGCCGGAATCCGTCACCACGTAGATTTTTCCGTTCTTTCCTCCAATCGCGTTTTTCCCAAACCCAATTGCACAATCCGCTAGCCTTTGCCTGTTATTCTCCCAGTTCGCTTCACACCTCCAACAATCATCAATTGGGTTACCTGTTCCACATGACAAGTAACCCAAATTCCTCCTAGCTACAGAGGCATTGATTTTCCTGCATCAAGCAAACAAATAAATAAATGAAATTCATAACCGTGTTACATTGTCTAGCAAATTTTTGTGACATTAAATAACTATGTCACACACAAGCTATTCATAACTAGTACATTGCAATAAGATGTGTTGTGAAGTTAGGTGGGGTAGGTTTGAGTGTAGAGAATGTGGGTTTACCTGTTAACTTCTTGGACGACCAATTCAGGGTTCTGGACAGGGGAAGAAGAAATGAGGGAGGGGGTGAGGAGAGAGAAGAGGAGGAAGAGCAAAGAGGTGGAAGTGGTGGCCATGTGTTGATTTTGTGTAGTGTGAGGAGAAAGTACGTAGTTGGAGGTGTATATAAAGGAATTAAAGCCGTGCTGAATGGCGTGATTAAACTGAACATGTAGGACCCAGGTGCTTCGTGATTTCTGGTTTCACGGGATACCAGTTGGGCAGTTTTGTCCGTTAAGCAAGCCCCAAATGATGGGGGAACCTCCCGAGTAACATAGCCCCTTATAAGTAAAACAAAATACGAGGAATGTGCTATCAAATGTTATTACCTTCTTTTACCACTTCTCCACTGTTCATTCATTCATGAATGTTCTCAAAAATTAGTTTGCGTCTTCCTTTTTCTTTTCATTTCCTCATGGTTTTGTTTTAACTTCTAACATTGGGTTTCGACGTGAGAGTGGAGTATGCTAATACTAATTAATGGATACCATTAATAGAGGTGTTTTTGAAAAAGGTGCTGCCTTCCCTTCCCACATTAACCCGCATAAGTTTTGAGGATAATCAAATTAAGTAGGCATGGCGCAACGAGTGATGGGCACTTTGATTAATCGAGTTATTCAACGGGCGTGGTGAAAGTAAAAGGCTCCTCAAAAGGAGGGATCATGTGATGCAATGAGGTGTTGGCAACTTTCAGTTAACTGTGTTCATATTGGGTGTGAAAATAAAACTCTTCACCCCATTTTTGGCACCAAATTCTCTACATTTTGACTTTGTTTCACAGAAACGAGTGAGAGAGATCATGAAAATTTAAAACGTTACTGGGTGGGAGAGATTGACTTACTTGCTCCCATGGGTCCATCTATTACTTTAAATAAAAGGGGCATCTTGGAAAATCTCGAGCTTGATCCTGCATTCTTAGTTACAGCTGGTAGAAAATGAATACTTGTTTTCATCCTAAATTAATAATTAACTGAATATTTGTATCATTAAAAGCTTTATATTTACTTTTTTTGTATGGTAAAAAACTAGTAAATAACGTAATGGTTTATGAATGAATGAATTAATATCCAGAAGAAATTATTGAACTGATGCAGAGTTGAAGAGAGGAAATGTATAGGCAGAATGATAGGATGATGAAAAGAAGCACCGACAGTGAGAGAGGTATAATGAGGTTTTTGTTTGTTATTGAACTTTTAATCTAATCATATTGCCCATAGATGCTTGGTGTTAAGCCAATAGGGAGAGAAAAGAATACCATTTAGGGTGGTTTGGAGTTGAGAATTTGTAAGAATCTATTTTGATAATAAGATAGAGACGCCTGAAACGACATGAAAGAATTTTTTTACTCTAGCTACCTTATAATTGCTTCCTCAATCATATCCTTGGATTATATGGGGTCCCAAACTCTCCCTTTGCTTGCGTTACAAGGGAAAACAATTGCGTAAAATGGAAAAACTAAAGTTAATCTTACTTCTATTTTGGGTCTTTCTTTTCTTTCACTTGGGTTCATTTTATGTATTATTTTTTCACACTTGTGAGAAATGAGCTTTATATAAGTTTAAATATGCTATGTAAAAATAAACGTTTAATTTATATATACACTCTCTTGTAGAAACTTATGATACAAAATCTAAATATTCTTGTAAAAATATAAAAAATATTTATATATTCTATTAATTAAGGTAGTCATATTTTAATTTAAAATGAATTCTAAAATATATATATATATATATATATAAATTATTTCAACAAACAATAATACATATTAATAAATAAGATGAGATCATAAAATATCCAAATATTAATATTAATTTATTTCTTTTGACCTATCTCTAATAATTGTCTTTAATAGTAAAATTATATAAAAATATGTACTGTAATAGTTTATTTTATACTTAATTTGATCCATTATTGAGATATAATACAAGTTAACTATAGATAATAGTATATGTTTTTAATTATAACGATTTTTTTTCCTTTATTATAATAAGTTATAATTTAGTAGCAACCAAATGAGAGAATTATAAAAAAAATTGTGTAAAAACGGAATATAGTTTATCTAAAAATGTAGTCCAATCCAAACACAGTATTGGGGTTGATTTGAAAGGAGCTAAATAGACACTACATGATATTTTGTTAAGAAAGAAACACTTTTATAAATATTAGGTAGAAGTGATACTCATATAATACGTATTAGTGCTTACTACTATTTATCCAATAGGGGAAAATATAATAGGAATTTAAGGATTTATTTAAAGAAATTTATAAAAATCAAAAGAATGAATTGAAGTCTCATATTAAATTTAGTATTTTCAGTTTTTAACTAAAAATAATAGCATTTTTTATACAATATAATATCCTAATATACTTATCATATTTATTTATATATATTTGTCTAATATTATGTGAAGTAAGACATTCAATAAACTTTTCCATAACGACGATAATAGCCACTGTTCCACAATTTTACTTATTGTGCTCTAATGTCACTTTTAACTATACCAATAATATTTTTTTTTTTTTATGTTTATTTTCAATTATATTTTACCTGAATCTTTCTTTTTCTGGATTATCCTTTCTTATTAGTCTTCTGATATTATTCAAGTTCTTTTGTATTACCCACTATTCTATTGCATGCCTGATTACCTTCTTCCTGAAAATATGTATAAATATTTCATCAATATTTGTGCAATATAACTCAATTTTCATTTGAGTTTAAGGTTTAGAGCTTCTTGAAATATATTGTTATTTGGTAAAAAGGAATATATACCCATCTTTGGATTAATTAATTTATGTCTTACGTAAACTACAAGTTTGTGGAGACAAAAACATTGCAATATGATATGTGTACTCTTCCACAATAAATGTTTTTCATATAATAAGGTTATGTTTATCACTAGGACAAAAAAAATGATATAGAAGGTTAAATTTAAGTTAATCGGTAGATAAAAGTTGTTTAATTAATTAACTAATCAAATTGTTTTATTATAAAAATGTCTATTGAAAGAAACATATTTATATTATATTTTTATACTAGTTTTAAATCAATTTGATTGATAATAATGTTTTTAAGTAGTTATAATTTTAGATATTTAATTAATTTTGAATTTTTTTTGTATTAACTTCTCTACTGCTGAGGTCATATTATATTATAAAGTATTTTCAACTAAATTTTAATTTATAAAAAATTAAAAGTAATATATAGTTAAATAAATTTCATATAAATTTTCCTTATGTTGACTAATATGTGGTCAATTAGTAATACCGTGTTAGCTATGGTAAATTGCTATTGATCCATTACAGAAAAAAAAAATAATCAATCATAAACTAATGAAATAATAAAAATAGATGTGTTTAACCCATGAAAAAAAAAAACATAAAACGCATTGCATTTTTTTTTGCAAATGGGTCACCAATGAAACCTCGACCCAATTGTACGTGTGTTCTGAACAAATTAATCCATTTCTCATAATTTAGACCAATATTTATTCAATCTAAAACACTTAATTAGTGTTAAATGAAGTAATAATTTCTTTGTAAGCTTCAACAAAATCGTATTCAATATTGTTTTACGTTAGTATTTAATTAGTCTGTGTTTTTTTTAGTTGTGGGTTTTTCTTAAAAAATAATTGTTTCCATTTATGATAATTGTATCAATTTTGATAATGGTAACAATTATTTTTTTAATGATAAAGTAGCTAATATGATATCGACATCATTCATTCATTTATTTATTTTTTATAAATTTATTTATCTCCGTGCTGTTTTAACAGCAATAAAATGTGTTTACAAATATTACATTTGTTTGAACATAATGGTGTTCAAATGTTACGGGAGGAAAAAAAAAAACCTTACCATAAATAATTAGTTAAATTTTTCGATTAGTTAGTTGCAAATTCGTATTTTTACCCTTATAAAAAAGTACACATGTTTAGTATTCAACAAATTATAAACCAAAAAAGTTTAAAACTGCGTCCAGATAGTGTGTAAAAAAATTGTTGATCTGATTTTATTTTAGTTAATAGTAATTGAGAAATTTATAATTATTTAAGAAAAATCATTCATAGTACAAATACTAAATATTTTTTTTAATATTATATTTAAAAATGTGTATATAATTTGAATTCTAAACTCACTTAATATACTTTTAATGCATTATTTATCTATCTCTGTATATAAAAGTTTATCCGACAAAATACAACAAACACGTCTTCTTAGCAGCTCAAAACTTGGAAGCATTAACGAATGTGTAGAAAATTTTTATTTTTTCCTTATTTATTTAAGAGGAATGGAACGGAAAATGTGCGAAAGTTTGTTAATTGGAAATTATGGCGTACTATTTACTCGAACACTTTGAGGGTAATATTTTATTTTTCCGTAACACCGAAGACAATAGTTTGAAAATTGAATTAATGAAAAGATACTAGAGTGTTAAGTAGAAAAACAAGGACTTTATTCGGAAACGTGAATGTAAGTTATTTGGGAATGTGAAAATGGCATTTTGTCTTCCTCGTGACACGAAACGGAAAGAAACCTAATGTTTGTGTTTTGTTCTTTTGTGAATATGTGAGTAAAATGAGCATGGGTTGGTGACAGAAGCACATGGTTTGCACTCAAAAATCAAAGAGGTGAGGGTTTTTGTAGGTCCAAACGTATCTCCTCTCTCTCTTTTCTTTTGGGCTTTGATTCTCTCCCCGTTCTATTAAATTTTCATAACCGCAAACTTCGCCGAAATTTCACGTTTGAAAGGAGAACAGCGTATGCGATGCTGACATGGCGCAACGGGAACCTCATACGACGATAGACGGGACCTGTGTGTGTCGTTTTGGAAGATGAAAAACGCAGTGGACACTTGGCCCTACCCGATAGGTCCTGGCTGATGAGTTGTGACGTTGCTGGATTTTGTTCTTGACGAATGATACGGTTGTCGTTTTGAGTGATCCGAGCCGTTGCTGGTGGATTGTGGAAAAAAGGGACGTAGTCGATCCATGGGAATAAGAACGGGAATCCAATCAAACTTTATTGAAAAGTGATTTATGGGACAAAAGCAACGTGAGGGTCTTTGTTAAGCAGTTAAGGTAGGGTTGTGATTAAAGGCACAGCCATGTTAGTTGGGATGGGATGAAGACTGAAGAAGGAAGAAGTGGTGGTTTGAAGAGGGTACTTGTGACAATTACATAGCAACCTCTTCTCACACACACACACACACACTCAACTCAATCACTTGCTGCTTATTGCTCCATGCCATGTGGCAGTCTCTCTCATATCAACAATTATTTCTCCCTTCTGCACATGCAATTGCACATGCAGTTTCACATCAAACTCTTGCCTTTTCCCATTCTCTGTTATTTTCATCAAAATTATTCCTTGATTAATGGATTACGACTCAACCCCCTCCTCCTCCTCCTCCTCCTCCTCCTCCCGCCACTACCCATCAATTCAGGTTACTTACCACTTCTAAAGTAGTCAATAATTTTTTAGGTGCACAATAAATTTGGTCAAATATTGCATATAAATTCCGGTACAATATACATCTACCGACGTTTTTATTTTCTTTCGTGATAAAATGCTTTTTAACTCTCCCTCAAAGAGACTATTATGTGATGCAAGGACACCGTACCCTTAAATGCACAGCCAGAATAGGAATTACGTACACCTCTTGCTGAGGAAAGTTGGGATAAGGATTCAAAGGTGGAGTTTATAGCATCCTCATTTATAAGAAAAGACTCAATTAGTCTTAGGTTTAACAGACACCATTTATTGTCTGAATAATTAGAATGGAAACGCATTTTATTTGAGTGGAGGTAATGGTGAACAAAAAGTGCCACAACCCACGATTCTCAGCCCTGTTTGTGCAGGGGAGGGGCCAAATGAGGCCCTCATGTTAACTGGTTCAGTAGCAATTAGCAGCATAGCAATCAGAGCTTCCAAATAAATAACTTTATTGTGCATCGTATAGACACCATTCTGTCCTGCACCAAATTGGATAAGGGAGGTAAACACCAACCAAAAACTTGTCAATATACTAATGAGTCATAACTTGAAACTCTACAGCTTTATTATTGGACACTGTACTACCTAGTATATCACATGGCTCTTGTTCACACATGCACCAGCTATAACACTAGCCGTGACTAAGAACTCCCTCGCATGAACCATGTTAATATATATAATTTAGTTTTTTGGTTCAGACACATATATTCTCCTCGTTTGATGCATCAGAAACTAATCCAACTCATGTATATGTAACAGAATCAATGAGTTTTCGTATGTAATAGACAGCAAATACGATTCCAGCTACATAAATCAGTTAAAATTGTCCTTCACGTGTATATAATATAACACTTGTAAGGAATCTTCAACAGAATTTGCTCAAGACAAACTCTTTTCTCCAATGCTAAAATACTATTGCTTTATCATTGATGTGTGGAATTAAAGATAAGACCAAATTCTTTTCCCTCAAACTGATTGAGTTCCCTGTTCATCTTTATGTTCAGATACCTTTTCTTTCATGTTTGTTGTCTTCTTTATTCAAATCCATCCCCATCAACGCAACTTAACTTCAATTATTTTCCTGTTGAAACGTAGCGGTTATCTGTTACGTATTATGACAAGCTCACCTCCTCATACACCACTACCAAGCATCAATTATTTATTTGCCTGGCCTGGCTGTTATCAATCCAGCAATTTTCAAATGATAAGTCAAAGAAAAGGCCGTGTGTGTTTCCAATGCATCAAGGTTAAAGAATTAAATGAGAGAGGGGCTTTTGCAAGCAGAACAAGTGCGAGGTAACATGTTTATCACAGAATGCATCTTGTAATTTGAAGTTCAATCCCTCTCAAAAACTCGTGTCATGTTTCACCATTCTTATACCTTGTTATTTTCAGCACATATTCAACAATATCAGTATTGCTTAGCCCTGTGCAGATATGGCTCACTGTTCACTGATGTGAACGAATGAAACTAATCAGAATATTAAGGTGTTAATTGATTCTTAATTGTATCTAGAAAAGATTGACAAGCAGGTCGCATAGTTACACAATCATTGGAAATCATGTGCTATTGTTATTACATGAAACACGTTTAATTCCATTGGGCTAATTTAAGTAATCCTAATTATATGCAGTTATCATCAAGATGTTTCTGCTTCATCAATCATGTGCTGTCATGACTTGTGGTTCAGAAGTAAAAAATCCTCCATAATTGCATGCAATCCTTTCTTTTCTTAGTGGATAGACACGTACCCTTTTTCTTTTCCGTTCACTTCTTCTATTTTCATCTAACCTTCACACTTTCAATTATTACAACTTTTTTATTCAAAGCATGATATATGCAATAAGGATTACCAGATTATCCCATATCGATCCCTCCATTTGCAAACTTTGATGAATAGTTATATAATAAAAAATATTATCACAAACGAATCATGTATGATTCAACATGATTCGGTTTAATATATTTATATTTACCGTTGCAGATGAAAAGAAATTAAATCTATATGGACGATAATTTTAATTTAACCTAAAAAAAAAGTCTGCAAACATTCTTTTATCATTATATAGAAAGTGTTGCAGATTCCTCTTTTTAATGCAAAGTTTTATAAACAACTTAAACAATTAAACGTTGAATAGACACAATAACAAACCTTTTTTGCTCTTACATTTCTCTTTTGTGGTCGTAATCCAAACAATTATAGTCACATAAGAATTTATAATACCTAACAAATTGTTTCACAAGCAACACCTCATACTCTCATACTCTTGTTCTTATTAAATAGAGATTTTGTTATTTAAACATAATACAGATTCCTCACACTGTTTGTTACACGTTTAGTAAGAATGTGCTTAAGATATTGATTAAAAAAGGGGTTAACATGTGTTATATGATTTCTTTCTCTATAAAGTTTCATCACTTCTTAGAAACCACCTTAAAACTTAAAAGACTTCTTAGAAACCACCTTAAAACTTAAAAGACAATTCTAATACTTAACATTGTAGTACGTTAAGATTTTTTTCTTTTATATTAAATTGTTTGTAATTTTGCACTCCATTGTTTATCTCTTTTTTAATAAGTTATACTTGAGAAAATACTAATTAGTATACTATTAACACTTTAAGATGATTAATGATTAAAAAAAATCTAAAATAATGACAGATAAAAAAACTTACTCTTAGTATATTAAAAATATCATTATTCAACACTCGTTTTAAAATTATCAGTAACCTTAAGTGGAGATATTACATATTTCTTCACAATTTCCATGATAAATAAATTATGATTTTTTTAACTTTTTAAAAGAATTTTGTTCTGATGAAAACGTTTTTTTTAATTAATAATTTCCTATCTGCTTAAATTTACCCATTTCATTTTGTTCCTAGATTAAATTTAATATTGCAAAAATAAATTATCAATAATTAAAGTTAAGTTTATTTTATAATATAAATTGTCTGGCATAAATCTAAAGATAAATTATATTTAAAAACGTTCTTTTTATTATAGATTTTAATTTCAATATGTTTATATGTTCAAAATAACAAATTTTAATTATAAAAACCTTTATTTAAATAAAATACTAGTAATCTTCAACCTGGATAATTGATAGTTACTTCAAAACCAGTGGTTTAATAGCATAGAACATGACTAGCAAGAACAACCTTTTCTCGTGGAAAATCTCACATTCATCTTGTTTAACACATTGTGAGGATTTGGGTTTTCTTCGTGGACATTATACTTCAGCAACGTGAGCCCATAATGAGTTTTCAAAAAAAATTTATGGATTGACTAGTGTTTTGAAAATGTTTTGGAATCAATTTTCACAAAATTTTCGGAATTAATTTTTCTGAATTTTTTTTGGAAACCTTTTCATCAATTTTCTAGATATTTTTATAAATCTGATTCCAAACACATTTCTGGAAAACTTTAAGAAAAATCAATCCAAAAAATTTATTGAACCTATTTATATTAGGGACAATATTATTATTTTAAATAAATATGGGGTGCTGGAAGAATATATGGAGGTGCAGGAAGGTACAGATCTCTTTTGTTTCAAAATGGGCCTCTAACATTTTTTCTCTTGGGACTTTCAAAAACCAACTTGGGCAATGAGAAATCCATATTTTAGCATTTATTATCTTGGGTCTTTGGGTTGTCCTTTGCGTTTTTGGGCCTTTAAATATTTGATATGTTTTTCATTTTTAAAAGTCTTCCTTTGAAAATGGGCTCTATTAATGGACTGACCAGGCTGCTCTCTCATCAAATCAGAATAATTTGTAAGAAAAAAAAATGATTTTTTCATGAAAACTTCGTCATTCCAAAATGAGTCATCGTTTTAAATTTTATTCATCAAGACTTCCTTTCAAATTAACCTGATTGAATAAAAGATTAATTGTAAATCAATTTATTATTATTTTCATGACAATGGTAAAACTATTCCTGTGTTCTAAGCGTCAATGCATACGCATGAATGAGTAGTTTAGAGAAATGAAAATTTTTCTATACATTTAATTTTTTTTTTTTTAAGTTAACTGAAATAATAGTGATTTTTCTATGTATTTATTTATAGATCACAGCATAATACTAAAAAATGTTAGTATACAAATTTATTACTATATTTCAATAATAAGACGTTGAAAATTTATTCCATGTCCGCATTAACTATTAATGCAACTTTAATTAAAATAACAATACTTATATATATTAGTTATGAAAATAATTTTTATTTTTTATTTTTTGTCTTTTTTTACTCTTTATATATATATATATATATATATATATATATATATATATATATATAATATTTTCTTTCTCCACTCTTTATACATGTTATGTTTTCTCTCTCTTCTTTGAATATATAATATTATAATAATTATTTTTCCTATATTATCTTTTGTCAACATAATAAAAATAATTTCATTTTATTTAATAAAAATAATATTATTTTATAAGTGATGATAATATATATATATATATATATATATATATCATTTAATAAATAATTAATCTACATAAATTTATCACTGATTCGCAATAATGTAATTATTGATACATTGAACTTAAGTTGGGATTAATTTACATAAGCGTAACTAAAAAAATAATTAAATATATATAAATGAAATAGACTTTGGCCAATGGACTGTAATGTTTTGTTTTCGCCGGAAAAATAGCATAACTATTTCATTTAAAGTAGTTTTTTAAACAAATTATGAATAAATTACTGTGTAACTATTAATATGTTCTAATTAACTTATTGTATTTTTTGAATAAGGTAACTTATGTCTCTTTTGTCTGTATCTAATTTCTTACGGCATAAAATATTGTTGTAATATAATTTTGTTATTTTTTAATTTATAATATAAAAATATAGTTTTAATTTTTAAATTCAATAGTTCAATATAAGACTTTGACATTTGAAGTACTAATGCTGAACGACTCACACGTGGCACACTCTTATTGGTAACCGTTATGTTTTGAATTGTTATTAAAAATCAAATAAAAGTTAAGCTTAAAATCATAATTATTTTATAATAGTGTGAAATAAAGTGTAATGTGAAAGTGGAGCATTATTATTTTAAAAGTTAAAGATTTCATCTTATAAATATTTGATGAGGGATAAAATATCCGTGAAGAAATGGATGGAAAATTTCAGCACCTATAAACAACTATTTTTAGAAATTTTCGTAACATTGGAAAAAATAAGTATGATAACTTGTTACTGCTGGAAAAAATTTATGATCTCTTCACAAAATATAATAACCTTTACAAAATGTAGTCTTTTACTATAGTTTTGATGTCTCTTAAATTAAAGAACTTTACTCCCATTTTGTTTTAGGATAATTATATATAAAAATCCATTCAGATTTTGAATGGTATAGGAAGGAAAATGAATGATTGATAATGAAAGATTTGTGATTGGTGTTAAGAGGTTGAGAGATGCATGAAATATGAAGAGTGTGGTGCGTATTCATGTCAATAATGGCTCAACTGCAGTCTCTGTTTGTGGGGCTGTGCTCAGTTGTAATGTAATGTGCAGACTCTATATCTATCTATGTATCTATCAAAAACTACACTGTTTCAAGTTCAAGTGAGGTTGCTCCCATCATAATAACCTAAGCATGCAGTAAATGGAAATGGTAGGGTTTATTGCTTCAAATAGGCCTGCGTTTTGCACCCTCTCTCACTATTTGATTATCACAAATCCCACATCTTAAATCAAATTTTAAAAATATAGATCCACAATAGAATTTTTAAAATATACGTATTTGTTGATATAATTATTTTTATTGGTTATGTATATTTGTTTTATTGAAGATAATCTTTTTTTTTATCGGAATAAATTATTTTCAGTAATATTTAATAATAATTAGTTAATAAAAAGATGTAGAACCAAACATTAAACAATAATCATGTAAGAGATCTGGAAATAAAAACAAATTAATGAATTTAATGGTTTATTTTTGTCGTATTATGATGTTGATTTTTTTTAATAAAATGATTTGTTTATTGTACTCGGTTACTACAAAGTATTTTGTTATCTTTTAATAGTGTAAAATACTCAAATATGTAAATTTTCTGTTGTGGCTGATACTCATTTGAAAAATTCATTTATAGCTAGGATGATTTTATTAAGATTTCTTCATAATATTATGATAAATTTAACTTCAGTTTATTCTTTTATGTAATTATTTAGACATATAACGTATTTTATTTGTTATCCATTATTAATAACAAGGAGCTTATAAACCAAATATACATAAAAGAAGTTATTTTAAATAATCAGTACTTTCATCAATTTTTTTGAAGTATAATTAATATTTTACACACACTGAAAGAAAGAAAGTTTAGAATAACCAATTTATTTCCCGATAATAAAAGGTTTACACGGATGATTAATTAATAGTTAAAAATGAAAACATGATATTAAAAAAAAGTTATAATTAACATTGATCATAGCTAAATAATAAAAAAACATATTATTAAATGAAACACATTTCTAAATTTAAGTTTTATACTATAGTTTTCTAAATTTATCTTATTTATTGAATTCTTGAATAAAACTAACTTAATGGTTAAATGTAATAGAAAAAAAATTTAAAAATTATAATTATTAGTTAGAGTACAACTTTTTTTTACTTTAATAATTTAAATGTCACGATTTAATTATGATTATTAAACGTGACGATTTAATTATGACTTAATCCATTTGACTTTCGTCACATAATAATCATAAATGTGAAAATCAAGACAAAAAATATTTAAATATAATAATTGATTTTAATGATATATATAAATATATTTTTATTTCTAATATTAACGTGATCATAAGAAAAAAATAGAGTATGTTGTATTTATATATCTCGTATTCTTAAATAAGTTATGCTTTTGATTCCATATTTATTTTGAATATTTATAATATTTTTCACTGTTTTAAATAATCAAAATTCCGAACAAGCATAGTAAATTTGGTTTCATGGGATTGTGTTATTTTATTCCTTACTTTGTGTGTCCGTCCGTATCTTTTTGTCCACAATCTAAGTGCTCCATAGTTTTCGGTGAATGCTTTTGTATAGGCACCTTTTTGTACAAACAGTAGTAAGATTCCTCCTCAGACTGAAATGGGAAACATACACAAACAGTTACTCCGTTTTCCCTTCAATAAAATTAACCGAACTCTCTTAAATTACAAAACAACCCATGCCAATGCAATGCGATCCCCACTTACTGTAAACACTGATCATCGTCACATTGCTCTGTCACACCCCCTGCCTCTGCCCTAAAGGAAACAAAACAACCATCTGAAACTCAAAAGTTCCCTCTTTAATCCTCTCTCTGTTCTTTTCTGTTCACTAGTCAGAGCGAACCACTTGAGACTTGTTCAACCTTCACCATGCCCTGCCTAACACCCCCTCTCATTTACTGCTTTTTACTACTTTGCCACTTTTCCCTCTTTCTCTTCTTCTGTTATCCTCATCTCCCCCCCATCAGAGCCATTATTATTTTTATTATTGTTTCAACCACCCCTTTTCTGCGCTACATTCAAGGGATTTTTCCTTGGCATTTTCCAAGATTTTCCTTGTTTTTCATTTGCTCTGGATCTTTTCTTTTTCCCTCTTGTTGTTCACAGCTTTGTCGTTTCGCAGCATTGTTCGTGTCCATCATCATCAATATATATATATATATATATATATATATATATATATATATATATATATATATATTTATTTATTTATTTTTTTCATGTGTTAAAATATTATAATTTGAATTGGAGATTCTCTTCCTTCTTTTCCTGTCCTTTTTTCTTTCTAATGCTGACGGAGTGGAAGTTGAGATAATAAACCATCCTTAATGCCTTAATGGGGTTGCTTTTGGTATTTGTCTCATGAAAGGTACTTAATTTTTTTCCTACTCTTCTCGTTGTTCAATTTATGGTCATGTTCATTTCCCGCTAGAATTGTCCTCCAAAGCTATCAATGAGAGACGAGCTAGCTTTTGTCGGCATTTAATCACCATTGAAGTTATTTATTTCATTTAACTTTTACTTTTTTGGTTTTTTCCCTAAGATTTTGTGCTTATTTATTTCATTTCATCCTTTGTTTCCTCCTTTTCTGTTCCAACTGTGTTCTTAGGTGATTTTTTTATGGTTTTTCTTTCCCTTCTAGGTGGCTTAACACTGTTTCGTGCGGGTTCTGCTTATGCAAGAGTTAGGCAATGATGGATGGTAGGAGGCATTCTGTTGATATTCCTATTTCCAAAACTCTTGTAGCACTGAGGAGAGTAAGGTCATTGAGGGATCCATCAACTAATGCTGTCAGCAGACTCTCGCCTTTGATTGATGATGGAGATTGGGAAAATGGTTCTAGTAATGGGGTTTCTCTGAGTTTGAGATTTCTGAATGCTTCTCATGCTGGTGATTGTGATGGTGGTAATGGTTTTTCAAGGTCAAATAGTTTAGACTTTAAGGGTCAGAGGGAGCAGGAAACTGCTGAGCTAGAATTGGAAATGTTGAACTCTAAGATGAACTATTGTGGGATCTCATGTCAGGAAGGGCGACGAGATGAGCAACTTGTTTATTCTAGTCCTAAGCAGCAAGGTATTTCTAGAGATAAATCACCAAATGAAAGCTGTTGTAGTATCCATGAAGGTGGAGGATTGGATTTGATTGCCATCACGCCTCCTTGTAATCATTTGAAGGATGGGGAGTTATGCTATTTATCAACTGCTTTGAGAGTAGATCACTCAAAGTCAGATAGGAAATTACTACGCAAGAATCACATGATACAATCTGGAGTGGTAGGTGATCTTGCAAGCCATTTAGGAAGTCAACAGTGCTCAGCTCGTTTTGCCTTGGAACAGACCACTCAAGATGTTGATGCTTTAGATAATCACCATGGATGTGGATTAAGGAGTTGTTGGTCAAAGTCACCGAGGTTTAGAGAATCAAATCATTATTCTGAAATAGAAGGCCTTCCCTTGATATTGCAGCACGCAAATGAAACGGATCTCAATGGAAATAGAAACATTAGATGCATCGGTGGTGAACTTAGTCCAACTATAGGAACTCCCAGAAGTTTATCTGTGAAATTCAGGCCAAAATCTTTTGACGATTTGGTCGGACAAAATGTGATACGTAAGTCTCTTTTGGGCGCTATCTCTAGAGGAAGGATATCATCATTTTATCTCTTCCATGGTCCACGCGGCACAGGCAAGACCTCAGCCTCTAGGATATTTGCTGCTGCACTGAATTGCCTATCCTCTTTGGAGCAAAAGCCTTGTGGTCTGTGTAGAGAATGTGTTTTGTTCTTCTCTGGAAGAAATAAAAATGTTAATGAGGTAGATTCTTTGAGAATCAATCGTGCAGAGAAGGTTAAATCCCTTGTTAAGCACGCATGCATTCCACCAATTTCCTCAAGTTTTAAGGTGTTCATTATTGATGAGTGCCAGTTATTGCATGGGGAAACATGGGCGTCCATTTTGAATAGTCTAGAGAATGTTTCTCATCATGTGGTTTTTGTGATGATCACTCCTGATTTGGATAACCTTCCTCGGAGTGCGATTTCACGGGCTCAGAGGTATCACTTTGCAAAGATAAAAGATGCCGACATTTCAAGAAGATTGGAAAGAATTTGTGTTGAAGAAGGTCTTGAATCGGAACAAGTTGCTTTGGACTTCATTGCTACTAGATCCTGTGGTTCTCTCAGGGATGCAGAAACTATGCTTGATCAACTGAGTTTGCTTGGTAAAAAGATCACAATTTCCTTAGTTCACGAGCTTGTAAGTGTTGTGCTTTGTTCTGTACATGTGTCTTTGCAATTGTCTTTATTTTTTCTTTCTGAGCATTATGTTTTGCCCTTTCTTGTTTTGCAGACTGGGGTCATTTCTGATGATGAATTGCTTGATTTTTTGGACCTAGCATTATCATCTGACACTTCAAGCACAGTTATAAGAGCCCGGGAACTTGTCAGAACAAGGATAGATCCTTTACAACTTATATCACAGTTGGCAAATCTTATTATGGACATTCTTTCAGGGAAATGTGAACTTGGTGGTTCTGAAGTCAAAACAGGATTTTATAATAGATATACCTGTAAGTGTTTTAAAATATTTTATACACTTTTTTTAGCGTTGAGTATATTGGCCCTTCTTTGTTTTCACAGGCCATAATTGTGTTTCACCATGCAAACACCATACTACTGCTTTTATCTTATTTCTGTTTGTTTGAACTTGGTTATTTCCTCTATGATAGCGGAAGCAGACCTGCAGAAACTAAGTCATGCATTAGGAATACTGTCTGAAACAGAGAAGCAGTTGAGAATTTCCAAGAATCAAGCAACATGGTTCACTGCAGCTCTTCTACAGTTAAGCTCCGTAGAATATTCACCTGTGGATACAAATACTACGAAATTGTGTACACCAGCTGCTGTGTCCATTAGAGGTGGGGATTATTTTCTTTTCTCGACTTTGTGTTTTATTATTCCTGTTAGAATAATTATTAAATATATGTGTAATCATTAAGACTGAGTAGGGAGTAGTGTGTTAGAAACATCTACCACTCGTCCTACTGTTGTACCTAGGTATCTAGTGCGACCTTAGATCTTCTATGCTCTCTTGAATCAGACTTTTCAATAAATAGAAGATGATTAAGAGGGGTGATTCAACCCTCAAAACTATATTTTCCTGTTTCTTAACATTATATATTCCCATCTCCCGTAACGGGTCTGTGGGATGGAGCTGGATGAGTTGGAGTGGTTTTTGATCTGGTTGAACCATTCTAAGCTTGTTCATAAATGGATACAGACGGTGATACCTGCAGCACATCTCCTAAAGGGGGCAGCTTGGAACATCTCTCTACAGCAGGTCAATCTGATGATAAGTTATATAGATTAGGAGTACAGGATGATCACAATGGAACATTGGATTCTATATGGTATAAAGCTACTGAGATGTGTCAATCTAGCAGGCTGAAAACTTTTCTCAGGAAACAGGGGAAGTTGTCCTCAGTTTTTGTTAGTCAAGGTACATATTGTGTTTCATTTACTCTGTTCTTTTTGTCTAGTGACTAAATCTTCTTTCATCTAAATTATTGGCATCATGATGTCCTCTAATACTTTTCAGCAAATATGGTTAGTTCTTCTTGTGCTTTTTTGTCAACAAAACTGCTTGCAACATGTTATTTGAAATTTTATTTTCAATGCTCTTTATTATTGGGCAAAATTCCATGTAGGTCCCATTAGTAGAGATTGGGCGTATGTTGTTCAGGATCTGTTTGGAATTAACAACTTAATTAAGGTCTTATTGAATAAGTATCTACTTTATAAGTACTTATGAACAAAATGTTTCTATAGTCAAAGGGGAAATAAGATAAATTGTTTTATATATGCTATAAGCTGGTTTTCAAAAACTATCTTGGAGAGTTATTGAAATAAGTTCAAATCAACTTACAGACATATTTTCAAAGCTCTACCAAACAAGTGCTTATGTCATAAGATAAGTCCAAATAAGTTCAAAAGGGTCTAGTGGGACCTGGACATTTCTCGCTAATAATATTGGAAAGAATGTGTAGAAAATGTGTTGCTAACATTCTCTTTCTGTTAAGAATTTTGTTTAGAATTTTTCTTATTATATTGTTCAATTCTTTAGAGAAAATTAGGATCATAGGATTAAATAAAGAAGGTTCAAAGTTTCTATTACAAATATCTTGATCAAGCAATTGTTGATTATTTTTTAAGTAGCTCAGTTACTCTAAGTGGGAATATGGAAATTATTTACATCGAAGATGGTTTCAAGAGTCCATTACTTTGAAACTCAACTACTTTTTGATTATCACGAGCAGTCATTTTTATTTTCTCTGACCTCGTATTTTATTTGAATTGCATAATGCACTATATACCTAGTATTCTTTGAACTAGAATGTATGGAGTGGTTTTACATGTTCTTTGACCTAGTATTCTGTTATCATTGATTCAACCTTTGTGCTTTTAGAGAAGAAAAATAATACTTTTATATTGATGAAGTTTATCTTCCCAAAGTGCATACTATGTACCAAGTAATTCAATAGAAATACTCCCAATTTTCAGGCCGTGCAGTTGCGGAGTTGGATTTCCACCATCGTGACTATGTAAGTAAGGCTGAGAAGTCATGGAAGTTGATTGCCAATTCTCTGCAGTTCATATTGGGCTGTAACCTTGAGCTCAGAATCAATTATGTACCTTCGTGTACCTCAGATTCTATGTACGCTAAATTGAAGCGGTCATCCTTCAATTTCTTCAGTTGTTCTCGTAGAATTCGTTGGAAATCATTATTAACTAATGAACAAGGAAGTGAATCAGACTATGCTGAATACACCTCTCGAAAGCCCATGATGAAAGATCAAACTCTAACTTGTTCCTCCGATTATGAACCCCGGGTGCCACCATTTGAGTCCTGCCATGGAATTGGAATGGAGGTTTTATCAACTTTGAGAAATAGTGAAGGGAATTTGCTAAGCTCAGGGAAAATGCTTTTGAATAGGCCAGATGAAGAGACTCCAAGAACTTATTGTTCTAGAGTTGATTCTGGCAAGGGAGAGGGATGCAATTATGAACACCTAGCTTCATCAACCCTTGATTTAGATAATCAGTCCGACTGTTTTCCTGGAACCCGCTGGCTTCATAAAAAGTTTGGTTCTTTTTATGCACCACAACAGAAGGACTTTGTTTTATCTATCCCCAAGTTCAAATGTTCTGAGATTTGTAGATATGATCTGGAACCCTTTGTCTTTTCCCACCGCCGCCCAAACAACTGCACTCAAGCTACTGAGAAAAAGTAGGTTGTTTTGCATCTCGATCGTTATCTTTGTTTATTATGACTTCACATCATATGGTGCAATTTTTTGTTTGGGTATAATCTGTCGCTTACTGAATAGAGCCAGACTCACTCTTCTTTTCTTGGTCAAATTTCTTTACACTGCAGTTGTACACTTAGTTTATTGAATGTAATCAGTTGAAATCTACATTCAACATGGAGGCTGGATTTTTAAGTTTAAACCCATCAAGATATGTGAGCGTTTGTTTGGTTAAAAAAAATTCAAGAAATTGCATTTCATTTCAAACTTGATTCTGAGTAGGATTTGTTATTCTGTTTTAATGAGATGGGAAATGTCATTCTTACGGTATGAAAATTAATGCTTATTTTGTTTCCTCCGTATATTTTAACTAGTGACAGTACATTTCATATTAATCCATGTACCAAACTTCAAAATCAAATTTGAATTGAAAAAAGAAAAGAAAAAGATTACACTTGTAAGTAGGCCTAATATTGGAGCATGAATAATATTTCCCTTCCTGTTTCTGTTACTAAAATTTGGCTGGTGGGAAATTCTAGCTCCGACAATGAAGAGCAGTCATTATGATATTGTGGCATGCTTTAAATTGTGGCAATTAATCTCAAAGTGCTTGCATGATCATGTAAAACTGTGTTGTAGTATTATGATATTTTTCTGACAATTTTATTAAACTATAATATCTTTAGTGAATTCTTTTGGAATCCAATTACATTAGAAATGAAAAAGTTAAGTATAATAAATAAGAGATAATTACAAACTTAATAAGTCCTTTTCCAAATATCTCTCATTGATCCTCGTAGATACCCAACAAAATCTTTTTACACAATTTTAAACTTTTTGCTTCTTTCAAATACTTATTCACATGGCTTTCTATGCAGTTGCTAGCTCAAACAGAAGGAGGAAGGAAAGCATATAGAGAACTGTAAGTAATTGTTTCCTTTTGAAGCTTGTGGTTTGTTTGCTTTGACAATCAAAGCGAAAGCTGCTATAGTGCATAATACTGATAATTTGTTTCGTGTGATCTTTCATTATTTGAAAGAAACTCAGGTATTGGATTCGAGGCCTAAGCATCAAAAGTCGCATGTGGAAATGCGCGACTGCACACCAAGTAACTCATTAAATATGAACATTATGCATTGTTTGAGCTGTGCTAGTATAATTTGCATACTGGAGCTCAGTTTTTCGAGTGCAGATGTAAAAATTTGCCGAAACCAAGCATTTAAGATTTTTATTTGGATGCTTTTTCAAGCTAATGCAATATAGATAGCCGAGTTTGTTATATAGCAGAGTTATTATGTTTTTCAGACACATACTTGCTCATGCATGCACCCGAAATTTCCAATTCCAGGAAAAAAAAGCATTGTAAATACAAGAAAAGGGCCTTATTTGCATATCCGTTTGGATAATTTTTAACGTAATTAAATTATTGTTGAATGCTAATCAGGATAGATAAGACATATCCACAAAACAGTGGAAAGATACACCGATAAATAATAACGTAATTAACGCATTGTTGAAAGACATTATGTTAATAAGATCAGCATTTCCCTGATGATCGTGCTTTTGTTACAACACTTCGAGAGAAAGAGCGGAAAACGTCATAAAAGTGACAACTTTTCCTCAATATTCTATGTTCTAAAATGATTTTGGATGGAAAAATAAAGTTACTTGAAAATATTTACATACGCTGGTAATTTCTTTTACTCTAGGCCATGAATAGGCTCAGTAAAAGGGTCAACAAAACTACCCTTCTTAACCTACCAGAGGCCCAATCTTTTGTATATCTTGGCATCTACCGCTTCAGAAATTTATTAGCTTTTTTGGATTTCTAACGTATGCCATGCTGGTCCTGATACAACAGACAAACAAACAACCTATGATGGTGGAACAATGTTTGATGATAAGGTTTCTCTCTCTTCTTTTAACATGTCTCGCAAAAGGCTTTTTAAGCATCACCTAGGAGCCTAATTACGGACAATGTTTATACATTACTCCATGCCGACAGAGGCACGAATAATAGTAGCAGTTAATCATATCCCATTATGAAAATGGCAACTATTTTTTTTTTTTTTAATGTTTATTACGTTATGAAAGTGGTCTTTGCTAATATCATTGCAATGCGCATTTTTATTTAGGTACTCCTTTAAACTTAGTAAATTAGACCTAACTTTTATGATAATTATTCTACTGAAACATACTGATACGGTGAGAATTTTAAATTTAAGATCTAAGTATTGTATGAGACACTGAATCTCAAAAGTGAAATAAAAAATTAATTATCTCCCTTTGGTCTCTATTTACTACGTGTGTTGTTATTCGATAATGATTAATAAGGGTAAAAGTGGAAGATAGAAAATAATTAATTTTTTTCCTTTAATTGTGTGATTTTATTTAAAATGTCTTGAAACAGGGATAGGAGGGAGTAATAATTTAACTAAAAATATAAAATATATATATATATATATATATATATATATGTATATAAGTGAGTGAATCTTATACAAAAACATAATACTAGAAAAATAATGTGACAGTATGTAATAAGATTACTTAAAGCAAAATTGTATTCTTACATTGGATATATTGTTTATGCAGGTGTGAAAGGAGGTGAACATTTCTTTTAACGAGTACAAGTTATTATTCTTTCCACTTAATTATATCTATGGCATGATGAGAGCAAGGTGCATAACTTACTAGGCCACACGTTTATTTATCATCTTTTCAAAATGGCAACCCGAATTGTAGTTTCGGGAGTTACTTTTTCCACAAGCATGAGAGTGAGAACAGTGTTGTTAGATACAGAGACAGTTATTATACACCAAAACCAAATATGATAACATCCACTCACTTAGAAGACTGAAGTGTTTATAAGTGACCATCATTATTTATTCTTCAGTGAACAACCACAGCAACAACCAACAATCCAAGCACACATCTTTTATTCATTCACATGTTCCACATATAATGCTCCTTCAAAACACTTTCCAAGTTTCCAATCAAACTTCTGAGGAGAAGACAACAAAATTACTAACCAATCAAATTGTACACCTTAAACGATAGAAAATGTATATACACGTCATCAAGTATATCTGTGAGTAAAGTTTTGTTATGTTATACAAAAAGTGATAAATAAAAAAGGATGTACTTAGATTATCAAGTGGACGGGAAAATTGTTAGGAACAAGACAATAATAAAGGAAAGAATAAAGGAGAGAAAAATAAACGACACAAGAATTTTAACGTGGTTCGGCTAAAATATGTATGCCTACGTCCACGACTACACTAGGAAGTATTTTTATTTCTGTGTGTATCTCAAACTTTACATAGGGTTGCTTATATAACAAAATAGAGAATCTCATCTCACAATCCTAATCGATGTGGGACTAAATCAAACACCATAATACTAACAATTCTCCCACTTGGAGTTTGATTTACGTTACCACCTAGTGTAGTGCCTTCATCATCAATTTGCTCGAAGGCCAGTTGAGGCAATGCAAAGCCTCAACTTAGTTGTTGTAACAGTCTTGGTCAACATATCGGCGGGATTCTCCGCACCTGGAATCTTCAACAAACTCAAGTCTCCATCATTTATCGGGTTTCGATAAAATGATACTTCAATTCAATGTGCTTACATCTGGAATGAAGGATTGGATTTTTAGCAAGACAAATAGCACTTTGATTGTCACTAAACAACGGAGAACCATCTTGTTCTCTTCCTAATTCTTTTAGAAGGTTCTTCAACCATATCATCTCCTTCGCTGCTTCGAGATAGCTACATACTCTGCTTCGAGTGGTTGAGAGAGAGACTCTTCCTTGAAGTTTAGACTTCCAACCGATAGCTGTACCACCCAATGTAAAAATATAACTCTGTTGTGCTCTTTCTACCGTCAAGATCACCTCCCAAGTCCGCATCGGAAAACCCCTGTAAAATGAGATTACTTCTCTTGAAAGACAAATGCATCTTTGAAGTGCCTTTCAAATATCTGAATATCCACTTCACTCCTTCCCAATGCTCCTTTCAGGGATTTGATAGAAATCGCTCACAACTCCCACTTGCATGTGCTATGTCCAGTCCGGTGCAAACCATAGCATACATCAAGCTTCCTACTGCAGATGCATATGGCACTTTAGACATGTGACTTTCTTCTTCTTCGTTTGAGAAGATTGCCTCTTTGAAAACTTTAAGTGAGTTCCCAAAGGTGTATTCCTGGTTTTAGCATTCCCAACATTGAATCTGCTAAGCAATTTTTCTATATATTTTTCTTGAGATAAGTTCAAAATACCTTTATCTCTATCTCGGGAGATTCTCATACCAAGAATTTGCTTGGCTGGACCAAGATCCTTCATTTCAAAGCTCTCCGACAATTGTTTCTTCAACTTGTCAATTTACGCCATATTAGCTCCAACAATCAACATGTCGTCAACATATAAGGCAAGAATGATATAGCTATCAACATATTTCTTCACATAACAACGAGTGATCTTCTTCACATCTGCGAAATCCCGAGTTTCTCATAAACTCATTAAACTTCTTGTACCATTGTCTCGGCGCTTATTTTAATCCGTACAAACTTTTATGAAGCTTGCATACAAGATTTTCTCCGCCTTGTACTTCAAAACCTTTTGGGCTGTGTCATAAAAATTTCCTCTTCAAGATCCCCATGTAAGAATGCGGTTTTGACATCTAAGCTGCTCCAAATGAAGATTTTCTGCAGCTACTATACTCAAGATAACTCGATGGTAGTCATCTTGACAACAGGAGAGAAAATTTACGTGAAGTCAATTCCTTGTCTTTGTTGGAACCCTTTCACTACGAGTCTAGCCTTATATCTTTTGCTTGCCATCCGGTTCTTCTTTCAACCTATAGACCCACCTGTTTTGCAAAACTTTCTTTCCTTCGGTAGCTTGGTTAAAGACCATGTTTTATTCTTACGAAGGGACTTTATCTCATCTTCCATTGCTAGCTCCCACTTAATAGATTCATCTCCCTGCATAGCCTCGGCAAAATGCTACGGCTCACCGAGCATCGATCAACAACAAATAATGCAATGAAGGGGAATACCTTTGTGGTGCTACAATTGTTACGCTAGATCTTCTAACCAAGATTTCGGGAGTTGCTTGACTCTACTATTTGTTCGGGTTACGTCTCGGGCTCGACATAGGCTCTACTTGTATATTACGCCTTCGGTTGACTACATCACTTTACGAAATTTCTTCTAATGATACTTGCTCTAGTTGTTTATTTACATTTGCGGATTCCGCAATCCTCGTCTCTATAGAACATGTTTTCATTAAAAGTAACATTTCTACTTCGATAATTTTCTTGTTTTGGTCATCCCAAAACACGTAGCCAAACATGTCGGATCCATAACCAATGAAATAACAACGTTTTGCCTTAGGGTCCAATTTATCTCTACTATTAGAGTCTAACATAACATATGAAGCACAACCAAAAACTTTCGGATGTGAAAGATTTACCTCTTTTCCGAGACCATACTTCTTCGGGTAACTTATAGTCTAAAGGAACTGATGGTCCTCTGTTTATGAGATAGGCTGCTTGTGCTTATTGCATCCGCCCAAAATACCTTGGGTAATCCTGATTGGATTCTCATACATCTTGCTCTCTCATTCAAGGTTCCGTTCATTCTTTACGCCACACCGTTTTGTTACGGTGTTCCTGGAGCTGTCTTGATCATTCCGATCCCATTCTCCGAATAAAACTCCTTGAATTGACTCACTGTCATATTCTCCACCATTATCGGACTTCAAACATTTGACCTTTAAACCTGTTTGAGTCTCAACCTCCTTTTTCCACCTTTTAAACACGAGAAAACACATCAGATTTATTTTTAAGAAAATAAACCCATACCTTTCTTGTAGAGTCATCAATGAAGGTTACATAATATTGTGAACCTCCAAGGGATTTCACTGAAGCTGGCCCCCAAACATCTGTATGCACTAGTTCTAGTCTTTCAACTTTAGACGACTTACTTGTTTTGGAGAAGCTAACCTTTTTCTGCTTTCCAAAGATACAATGTTCGCAAGGTCCAACGTCAACATGCTTCACGTTAGGTATTTTACCTTTTGATATCATGAGCTTCATTCCTTTCTCACCCATATGCCCAAGCCTTTGATGCCATAGGGAGGAATTGTTGCCAACTTCTGCAACTGATATCATATCCTCATCTGCAATCATGTAGAGAGATCCTTGCTTCTTTCCACGAGCAACAACAAGATTACCTTTCATTACCTTCCAATGTCCATCTCCAAAAGTGGTGTAATGTCCCTCATCATCCAACTGCCCTATAGATATTAAGTTTCTCTTTAAGGTTGGAATATGTCTGACATTATTCAAAGTCCACACGTTTCCATTAGAGGTTCTGATGTTAATATCACCTCTTCCTATGATATCAAGAGGTAATTGTTGAGGGGGAGATTGTTGCAGGTTGCACAATTGTCCCGTGGCAGAGGCCAGGTGGGCCAAGTCACAATCCAAGAGTGGGATACCTTGTAGGACAATTGATGAGGGGGAGATTGTTGCAGGTAGCATCAATTGTCCTGTGACGAAGGTCAGGTGGGCCGAGTCACAATTGAATCGTGGCGCTTGGGCTGTTAAAGTAAAAAGAGTTGCGCTCTGACTAACGGCTATAGCTTTTGGCCTAGTGGTAAGCGCTCGATCCTAAAAATTGGTATCAGAGCCAAGGTCACGAGTTCGATTCCTGGTGGGCAATTGTTGATGGGGAGATTGTTGCGAGTTGCACAATTGTCCCGTGGCAGAGGCGCGTGAGCCAAGTCACAATCCAAGAGTGAGATACCTTGTAGGACAATTCGCTGAGGGAGATTGTTGCGAGTAGCATCAATTGTCTCGTGACGAAGGTCAGGTGGGCCGAGTCACAATTGAATCGTGGCGCTTGGGCTGTTAAAGTAAAAAGAGTTGCGCTCTGACTAATGGCTATAGCTTTTGGCCTAGTGGTAAGCGCTCGATCCTAACAAAAATCACTAATCAAACAAATTCATTTTTTCTAAACACCATTAAAACGTTAGGGAAATAAAATTTTAGACAAACAGGCTACGTAACTGAGTTTTAAAATTCCAAATTCGAGACTTGGAACGAAGGGAAATGGTTTCAATTTACTCGATCCAACTGTATTATTAAAACCAGAGTAGGATGATGAAATCACTTAGCTAGCTGTAATGTTTTGTAATAGAAATAAAGTAAGATATGATTAAAAGAAGGATAAGTCTTTTATTCTCCAAATCTTCATTAGTTTACTACATAAAATAATCACCATTGAATACCATATCCACATTTTTCGTGCTAATTAACGATGGAATATAAATCCTCCATATGCTTTAAGATTTAACGTGGTTAAGATTTTGTTATCTCACTGTTTTTTTCTTTGTTATTTCAATTTGGTTTAATTATTTGTTTTAGTGTTAATTAGAATGTAAGAAAAAAGGCATTTAGCCTATATTAATTATTTATATAAAAGTTTATAATTTATATTAATGATTTGATGTGGGTAAGGACTTTACCACCTAAGCATGTGACAAGAAGATTCCTTACAAAAACGGCATGAATGGATTTATGCGTATGCCACTAGAACACGACTCTGGGCGAAAACAAAATGCATAAAATGGATGTTGGTGTTCTCGGACCAGAGTGTGATGGTCCTAACTATAGGTTAGGGTTAATAATAAAAGAAGAGTAGCACAGTGGGGAAGAAGGGAGGGAAGGCACATAATTAAGATTGGGATTAGCCTGTAGCGGCAGCGCCACGTGTGAAGAGAAGGGAACAACAATAGTTGAATAGAATAGGCCCAAACCCAAAAACCTCGCCCACTGGTGACGTGTACAGGTAACCGTAGCCTCCCTATATAAGCCTTCTCTTCTCCAAACCATTCTTTTTCGTTCTCATCCATTTCTCTCCTCTTCTCGCGTCTCACTTTCCACCGATTCACTGACCCACACCACACTCACTCACTCTCTCCGATTATCGCACCACGCCGCGTCGCCGTCTAGGGTTTCTTCCCTCAACTTCGGTCCTCTCTGGATCTTACTCACTTCGCCTCCTTCGCTTCGATTCGCAAAATCCGGTTGCTTCTCCTGTCTTGGCTCGAGATCCGGGCCAAGCACAGAAGAATCCGATTCTTATTTGTACCTTCAGTCACTGGTTCGTGTTCTTCACATACTTATCTTTATATTTTGCGTTTTTTGTTTCCATTTTTTTATTTGATTTAATGTTGTTTCGGTGATGTGGTTCATTGGCATGCTGTTATATTAGTATATTTGGTATTGAAAGTAAAACGAGACGCTCTGTTTGTTTCGTGTTGATGGTTTTAAGTGATGCGCGGCGAAGACGGAAATGCTCGAGGCATATAGATATGTGTTTTTATAATTTTTCTACCTGGTATTATTTCTTGCAGTTTGTGATAGACAACTTGGAGTTTATGGAGAATATTGGATATTTCGTATTTGGCTATGTGCATTGGTTTCTTATGTGTAGTTGAGAGTGATTTTTAATTCTTTGCGAAATTGCTGTAGTTTTGAACTGAAGCGCGCTTAGTGTGGCGTTTTTTTTAGTTACTCTGTTATCGGTTAAGTGATGGGGTTAACTGGTAAACGTGTCCATAGGTTTGGCTTGTTTTTGGCTTTTTGTGTAAATGGCTTCGAGCGAGGGGTTTCTGACTGATGGACAGAGGGAACTGCTAAAAATTGCAAGTCAAAATGCGGAGAATCTGTCTTCATCTCCGAAATCTCCTTCGTCCTTGCTTTCTGACCATCATGTGAAAGCTCCTGCTGGTGGTAAGGCACAAACCGCTGGGATAGCTGTGAGGCATGTGCGTCGGTCACACTCAGGGAAGTATGGGCGGGTGAAGAAAGGTGAGTTGATGTCCTTTGCATGTTTAATTTTGAATGGTTAGCTATGCTAGGTGTATTAAGTGTACGCTTGCTCTGTCGAATGAAATACATGATGACTGTTGGATTTATTGAGATGGTTTTGAGGGAAATTTTGAGATGAATACTACTCAGAAAAGTAGGTCAACTGGTCTGGATTTTTGAATTATTTGGGATTTAGCTGACTTTGGAGATGATTTTTTTTAATTGTTTATTGTTGCATGCTGCACATGTTTTTTCTTGGCAAATATTACATAATTGTTTGCTAGTCCTTGTTGATTTTTTTTTAATTATGGCTGTAGGTTAGTAAGATATTAATTTTATTAGTATTATGATCTAGCTGCAGTGGTTTAGCCTTTCCTATGGGGATCGATGGGTGGATAGAAGTTGAGGTGGAACTTTGTGCTCTAAGTGCCTAGTTAACTATCATGTTACATCAAAATGTTTTCCTGCTTCCAGGATTCCAGGCTTATATATTGTGAGGAAGACAAGAATGCAACTCAAGAATGAAATTTCATTAGGTTTTAACATTGAATAAATATATTTCCTTTACATTCTGATGTTACTAAATTCCTACTAAATTTGGGCTATTCGATCTTATTTTGATAAACTTTATATAACTTGTGCTTCTTATTATTAGTTTAAATTTATTGGAAACTACTAAATCATGAGTTGGAGCTTCTTAGATAAGGAGTAAGACTAACACAGTTTTGTATTTTTATAATGGTCTTCATTTAGTAATTTGGTGTTCTTGATCTTGGGGATGCAGATGGTGCTGGTGGTAAGGGCACTTGGGGGAAATTGCTTGATACTGATATTGTTTCTCATATAGATAGGAATGATCCAAATTATGACAGCGGCGAGGTAAATTCTCTTCCTTTGTTTTGTTGATTGTTTTTTAAAACATTTATGATGCAATACTAGCTACTTGAGAATTTGTTAAATGTTTGTAGTAGCAGAGTAGAACTGTAGTCCTTTTCTTCTTTCCTTTTTCATAATATTTCTTTTAAATTGTATTTGCCGCCTGCTTTATTTTACCTTTTTTTTTGTGGCTATTACCAATGGATTGCATAAATAAGCTCACAGGACAGATTTGTTCACATACTCGTGCTATTTACAGGAACCCTATCAGCTGGTTGGATCTACTGTTACTGACCCCTTGGATGATTTCAAGAAAGCAGTGGTATCCATCATAGAGGAATACTTTAGTAATGGAGATGTGGAATTGGCAGCATCTGACCTCAGAGAACTTGGCTCAAGTGAATACTATCCATACTTCATTAAACGCCTTGTGTCCATGGCTATGGACAGGCATGATAAGGAGAAAGAAATGGCTTCTGTTCTGCTTTCAGCATTGTATGCTGATGTTATCAGCCCTGCACAGATTAGGGATGGGTTTTTTATTCTTCTCGAATCTGCAGATGATCTTGCTGTGGATATACTTGATGCAGTTGATATCCTTGCATTATTCTTGGCACGGGCTGTTGTTGATGACATTCTTCCTCCAGCCTTTCTTGCCAGGGCAATGAAGGCTCTTCCAGAGTCTTCCAAGGGAGTTCAGGTAATCCAGGTTGCTGAAAAGAGTTATCTCTCAGCTCCACACCATGCAGAGCTTGTGGAAAGGCGATGGGGTGGTAGCACTCACATAACTGTTGAAGAAGTGAAGAAGAAGATAGCTGATTTACTTAGAGAATATGTGGATAGTGGTGAGACATTGGAAGCCTGTAGGTGTATACGTGAGTTGGGGGTTTCATTCTTCCATCACGAGGTTGTTAAGAGGGCTCTGGTACTTGCCATGGAGATTCGTTCGGCAGAACCTCTAATGTTGAAATTATTAAAAGAAGCAGCAGAAGAAGGACTTGTTAGTTCCAGCCAAATGGTGAAGGGGTTTTCTCGTTTGGCAGAATCCCTAGATGATCTTGCTCTTGATATTCCATCAGCTAAGGCATTGTTTCAGTCATTTGTCCCCAAGGCAATTTCGGAAGGATGGCTTGACGCTTCACTTACTAATCCTGCAACTGAAGATGGGGAAATACAAGTTGAAGATGAGCAGGTGAGGAATTACAAAAAGGAATCAGTAACTATAATTCATGAGTATTTTCTTTCTGATGACATTCCTGAGCTGATTCGAAGTCTTGAAGATCTTGGAGCTCCCGAGTACAATCCGATATTTTTGAAGAAACTGATAACTCTTGCTATGGACCGAAAGAACAGAGAAAAGGAAATGGCATCTGTACTGCTATCTGCACTTCATATAGAGATATTTTCAACTGAGGATATAGTTAATGGTTTTGTCATGCTTCTGGAAACTGCGGAAGATACAGCACTGGATATACTGGATGCATCAAATGAGCTTGCTCTGTTTTTAGCTCGGGCTGTTATTGACGATGTGTTGGCCCCACTGAATTTGGAAGAAATTGGCAGCAGGTTACCACCAAAGTGTAGTGGTAGTGAAACTGTGCGTATGGCTCGGTCTCTAATAGCTGCTCGTCATGCTGGGGAGAGGCTATTGAGATGCTGGGGTGGAGGCACTGGGTGGGCTGTGGAGGATGCCAAGGACAAGATCATGAAGCTCTTGGAAGAATACGAGAGTGGAGGGGTTGTCAGTGAAGCTTGCCAATGTATCCGTGACCTGGGAATGCCTTTCTTTAACCACGAGGTAGTGAAGAAAGCTTTGATTATGGCCATGGAGAAAAAGAATGATAGAATGCTAGATCTACTGCAGGAGTGCTATAGTGAGGGCCTGATCACCATTAATCAGATGACTAAAGGTTTCACCCGAATAAAGGATGGTCTTGATGATCTGGCTCTGGACATTCCTAACGCAAAGGAGAAATTTGGCTTCTATGTGGAGCATGCTCAGTCGAAGGGCTGGCTTCTACCATCATTTGATTCGCCTGCTACAGAAGCCTAATTACCCCTGGCACCATCTTTTGAGGACGTTTGTGTCTTATTGTTTCTCTCCTGTATGTTTGTCCGTTAGCTCCCAACTGAATAGTGAATATGGGTGAATGGATAAATCTGGGACAGTTGGACTTCTTCTGATAATCCCTTTTTTATGTTCCTTTACTTTTTTCCCCGAATCATCTCACCGACAGAGTTACCTGTTATCTCTGCCATTGTATAAAGTTGGTCTTATTCCATTAACAGCTCTTTAGGATGATGTTGCATCAAGAGGTATTTTAGAAGGGCATATTATTGTATTTTTCAGCATCGATTCTCGTTTTTTCATGTCAAATATTCGGGTATGGCATCGTGGCTTTTCTTTTTTTACTTTTTGGTTGAGCCAGAAAAACAGAGAGAGGCATGTGTGGTCACCATGACAAGGTACAAATTATGTGTTTGAATGAGCATTTATGATAATCCTATTTATGTATAAGTGGCAGCTATCAATTTGCTAATGCAGTGCTTAACTCAATCATCAAAAGCATTGGAGACTCTCCCGAATGAACAGTAGAATAGAAAACTGTTCACCGTCAGTTTTAGCATATCATACGAGAGAGAGAGAGAATTTCTTTGGCAAAGACATTCACAAACTCGTTATATACAAAACGGAGGATTTATTAGTATAGACCTTAAACATGGAAGAAATGCTAAAATATAAATTCTGAAAAAACACTAGACACTTAAAACATTCTTGGTCCAGAAATCTAACTTTCTCTAATGTCCCGGTCCTTGACTTGTTTCCAATCCAGAAATTTACCACGGAATCATTTTCACCAACACTTTATGAGCACATCTATTATGCTAGAGTCTAACACGATTGTCGTGTGTCTGTCTATTCTCCCGCTCTCCAAACATCACAAGAATAAGATAATAGATCACATAGAAAGGGCAAGACAAGAATAAAGCTTGTTCAATGTGATTTCAAGCCTGGTGAAATTATGATTAAAAAAGCTCATAAATTAGAAATTAAAAATGATTTAGTTTAATTTCATCATAATTTCATATAATTGTACCTTAGAATTATAATTTCATTTCGAAAATAACGTTTTTATTCGAACTAGGAATGTTGATAGAATGTCTTGAGCGGCTACAGCAAATGCTAGGGGCTATGCTATGATTACGACTAAATAAGAAAAATCTAGTAAAAGGCCTTTCTCCCATGATTTCATTTTATTGAACGCATTAACTCACTCTATCTATGTCATGAATTCATCACCTCCCACTCTTTAGTCACGCCTCCACCCCATTGTTTTTCCGCTGTATTAAGCCGAAATAAATTCTACATCTACTCTTTAACATTTTTTAATTGATGAAAAAAAAAGCATGATATCTTGCAAATAAAAACTTGTTTAAGAAAATGTTACTAAAACAATGGTGGAATCAGGACGCGCGCAAGAACAACACTTTACTTGAGTGCCAAAGACAATGAAAATAATTTTCGGTACTTTTGTACCATTAATTACTTTTAAGTTATTTTTCTTTAATGTGATAACTTTTTTATCTTTAATTTGAAGAAATTTTTAATTCAGAAAAAGAAATACATCTTACTGATTCTTTTCTTCTTCAGAAAATGTTGAAATTGAGGTGGAAAACACAGATTCAATTTAAGTTAAATGCTATGTTTTGATTGATCACAAGTTCTCCTTAATTTTATAATGCATTGTTTAAAACTCATAAATACACTTTATTTATTAATTCAACTTTTATATCTGAAAATTAAAAAAATTATATTTAATATAATTTTTTTTAACTCCACTCAATATATTTATTTCTTAATGTATTACGGATACGAAAAAAAAAATGCAAATTATCAAAGTAAAGTGAAGAGATTTAAAGCACAAGGGTAGCTGAAAATGTTGTTTTCAACTTTTCAAAAAGCTAATTCCATTTATTCAATAGAATAGACAAGTACAATATTTTTTATGTAATTATTTGAATTAATCAATATCAAATTTATCAAAATGTATATTATAACTTAATTATATATTTCTTTATCAAGAATAATAAATGTATCAATTGTTATAATATTTTTAAATTTTTTTTAGATAAAGTATTTTAAAATTTAATTAATTATATTAACATATCACTTCGAAAATCAGTCTCTTAATTTCTTTAATTAATAATTATATATAAACATATTTTACTGCGTCACAAGTGTAAAGTATTTATTAATTTTTATTGAAAAATTTGATCCGTTATTTTTATTAATTTATTTAGTTATGTTTTTATTTAAAAACTCAAATTTAAAATCTTATTTATAAAGTTTAAGATTATTTTTAAACCAATGTAATATAAGTATGATAATAATTGTAGTTAAAAAAATAATCTTACCATTATTGAATGGTTAATTTAAAATAATGAAAAGTATGTTGTGAAAGTCACACAAATTGGCATAATTTAAACATTTATAAACTTACGAATAATAATATTCAAATTATAAATTCTAAGCATTTGTAACTTGTAAGTGGTGACACCCACCATTTCCCCAATATTTAATAAATAAATAAATACTTTACATTATCCAAATGGCCAACCCCAACAAAAATAACACCATGATAGGAAAGAGAGAAAAATCCAGTGGCATTTGTAGTAAATAACACTCCACACCAGGGTCAAATGCTCTTCGAATCCACGCACTCTCTCCTCTGCTCTGTCCGAACCAACCAACCCTGCACTTTCTTCCACTCTCTCCTCCAAAAAAACAGAGAGAGAGAGAGAGAGAGAGAGAGAGAGGTAATATATAATATCAAATTAAAACTTCAAAAAGGAAAAAGCCATTTGCTAAAAGGAAAAAGAAAAAATGCCAAAAAAATCGGAATCTGAAGAAACCAAGTTCATTGAGTTCGGGAAAAGAACAGAGCAGAGCAGAGCAGTGAGTAAATGAGGTACTGAGCTCAGACGAATCCCGAGAATGGTGGCTTCGGAGGAAGTATTCCCGTGGCTGAAGTCGCTGCCGGTAGCGCCGGAGTACCGCCCAACCGTGGCGGAGTTCCAAAACCCTATAGCCTATATCTCCAAAATCGAGAAAGAAGCCTCTCAATATGGAATCTGCAAGATCATTCCCCCGCTTCCCCCTTCCCCCAAGAAAACCGCAACTGCCAACCTCACGCGCTCCCAACCTACCTTCACCACGCGCCAGCAGCAGATCGGTTTCTGCCCCCGCCGCGCGCAGCCGGTGCGACGCCGCGTCTGGCACAGCGGCCACCACTACTCTCTCCGCGAATTCGAAGCCAAGGCTAAGGCCTTCCACAAAACCTACCTCAAGAAAAACAAACCCAAACCCTCGCCTCTCGAACTCGAAACGCTCTACTGGAAAGCCACCTTAGACAAACCCTTCTCCGTCGAATACGCCATCGACATGCCTGGTTCCGCGTTTAGCCCCCTCCGTGCTTCCCGCGATGCCAATTACGTTGGTGACACCGCCTGGAACATGAGGGCGGTTTCGCGGGGGAGTGACTCGCTGCTTAGGTTCATGAAGGAGGAAATTCCCGGCGTGACTTCACCTATGGTCTACGTGGCGATGTTGTTCAGCTGGTTCGCGTGGCATGTGGAGGACCACGATTTGCATAGCTTGAACTACCTCCATTTTGGAGCTCCCAAGACTTGGTACGGCGTGCCTAGGGACGCTGCCGTCGCGTTCGAGGAGGTTGTCAGAGTTCATGGCTACGGCGGAGAGATTAACCCTCTCGGTTCGTATTGTTCTCAGTTTTTTCCGTAACTATGCATTACTGTTTGAACTTACCTGTCTAGTGTGCCTTCCACAGTTACCTTTGCTATTCTTGGCGAGAAAACCACGGTAATGTCGCCGGAGGTTTTTGTTAGTGCCGGTATTCCCTGCTGCAGGTATTGTGTTTGTGGAATTATATATAGTGAGAATGTTCGTAACTGTGTGTATCTTAACTTTAATATTCGATTGAATTGAGTCAGGCTAGTTCAAAATGCTGGGGAATTTGTTGTGACGTTTCCAAGAGCTTATCACACAGGGTTTAGTCATGGTAAGATACTTCATAGTTCACAATCTAAGAATGGAACCATAGCCTTAAAGTTTCTCTCAGATTTTCGGGGAACGCTGATTTTTTTTTTTTTTTACAACAGTTTAATGTTTCAAAATATTTGGATGTGTGTTTTGTAGGGTTTAACTGTGGAGAGGCGGCTAACATTGCGACACCTGAATGGTTAAGGTTTGCGAAAGATGCTGCTATTCGGAGGGCTTCCATTAATTATCCTCCCATGGTGTCACATTTCCAGTTGCTTTATGACCTTGGCGTTGCTTTGTGTTCAAGGTTTGTCTTTCCCTATTGGAGCTAGTGCTCATACGATAGTTATTAATAGTGAATTTTGACCATTAGATATGATTTTCTATTGGCATGCAAATAGTTGATGGCTTGATTTTTTTTATTTGTGTTTTAAAATTGTTCCGGAAAATGGTGAACTGGTCAAGTGAATGGTTCAAATAATCCATATAACCAATATGAAGAAAAACCAGTTTATAGCGGGTAGATTAAAAATGCTTAACGTAAATACCATGTTAACTATTTTTCTTAGAAAATAAAAACAGACCTAAAAGGTTCGTCATTTTCTTTTATATTCTGAATTTAGACTTATTATTATTAATAAATATTGATGTACGTTGTTGAAATTTTAACTCAAGTATAACTTCCACCGCCCTTATTTGTAAGACCCTTTCAACTAATTTTCACTCTTTAAGAAAATTAGTTATATTAGTTGAAAACAATAAATTGGTTAGTAATTCGAATTGTTACTAAATTACAATTATCATATCTTTAGTTGAAGTAGTTGAATGAGACTTTGATATTCATGAGTACTTGTATCTTACATCTGATTAGGACAGAGAAATTTAATGTCATTCATTTCAAATATTTATTAGTTTTTTTTTTTTCAGTAAAAACAGGTCAATTAATTAAGGTTATTTTAGGAATGGAGGGATAAATTATTTTCTAAAAGTGGTCTTATAAATAGGAATGGAGGGAGTTATGATATTATATTTCGTTAATATTATTTCATGTATTATTACCATTGTTATATTAATGTAGGTTTGATCCTTATTCAACCACAATTGAATCATTGAACCTTGACTGGTTCAATGATTGGTTTGATTTTAAAAAACATTGATTTTTATTGTTATAATATATGTACCCTGTAAATTTTCTCTTGAAATCTTCATACAGAATCCCTGGAGGCATTAATGCTGAACCGCGGAGTTCTCGGCTTAAATATAAGAGAAACTGTGAAGGAGAAACTGTAATTAAAGAACTATTTGTACAGGATGTGGTAGAGAACAATGATTTGCTTCACACACTTAGCAAAGAATCTGCTATAGTACTTCTTCCTCGTAGCTCTTCTGACTTTTCTGTTTGCTCAAAATTACGCATTGGATCACAACAACTAAAAGTGAACCCTGACTCTTCTGTCAATGTATACAATTATGAGGGAATGGATTCCTCAGATTTTATTTCTGATGACCTCATGTTCAACAGGAATCATGGAATAAAACCGGTAAAGAATTTTTATTCTGTAAAAGAGAAGTTTGTTACATTGTGTGAGAGGAATAGGGTTTTGCCATTTAGTCCGAATGGGAACTTATACACTTCAAGTTCAAAAACATTGCAAAGAGACAGTGAAAAGGAAACAGATCAAGGAGATGGATTATCAGATCAGAGACTATTTTCATGTGTCACTTGTGGAATATTATGCTTTTCCTGTGTTGCTATTGTGCAACCTAGAGAACCAGCAGCTACATACCTTATGTCAGCTGATTGTAGTTTTTTTAATGATTGGATTGTTGGTTCTGGAGTAACTAGCAATAAATTTTCAGGTGCATATAAAGATGCATGTATTCCGAAGCCAAGAACATATACAGGTAGGTTCTATTTTATTAATGACTATATATACTTCTTGTAGGTGTCTTTATCGCCTGTGTGTCATATGCCCATCAGGAAATATGAATATTTATTTTGTTAGACCTGTATGTGAAAGCTGAGCTTCATGTACAGCTTGTACGGATAACTTCCCTGTTTTATAAGTGTAACCCGAATTATAACTTCTGCATTAGCATGGGCTAAAGCCATCCAGCTTTGATGTGTCCATGTTTTTGGGGTTTAATGATTTTTGTGTTTGCCGTCTTTTGATTGAGTTGAGTTTATGAGTAAAGTGGAAGATGTTTTCATTGTTTATCAATCAAGAAAGGAATTATCATTTTTTTTTTCACTCTTGAGTTTTGTTTTGTCACTTTAAGTTCTTGTACTTGTTCGTATTTGTTTCCCTTCTTCTGGTTGTGGCATAAGATTTTTCTTGCAATTTTTTTTAAAAGCATTATCTTCATCAATTTTCTTTTTCTTTAAAACAAATATTTCCTTTTGTGAACAAGTTTGATGGAGACATAACTTTTCTGATGGTTTAGTATTTTGGATTTAGTCCTTTCTGGTATGGATGCTGCAGTGTTCTTGTAGTAGTTTTGAATCCAAGAGTGGCGTGCCATGTGCTTATTATTCTTTACATAATGAGAGAGAAGAAATATGCATGAATCTGCAGAGCCTTTATGGTGTGCATATGAAAAGTGGCAAGTTAGCCATCTAAGCAGCTAGATGACTTTTGTTTTGTATCTCTTCTACTTTTTCTCTAAAATGTTTTCTAATTCTCAGTTTCAATCTTGACTAAAGCAAAACTAATGACACATTTGTTCCATAATGCAGGTTGGACAAAGCTAAATGCCCAGCATGATTCAAATGGTAATTCCGTTCAATCTGTTGAGCACCATGCACAGATTGCCGATCAAAATTATGTGGAGGCTTTAAATTCTGAAAGAGAAAAAGGCAATTCAGCTCTTGCATTATTGGCATCGGCATATGGAAATTCTTCTGACTCTGAGGAAGGTCAGGGGGGATTAGATATTGCACTTGATGGCGATGAATTGAATGTAATCAACCATCCAGCCACAAATGGATCTCAGGAGATGTCTAGTTTGCCTTCTCAGTTTCAAGATTCCCATGATAGTCCCATGGGTAGAGTCATTAGGCTTGATAAAGGAGATGATATTCCTTCAAGAAGAATAGACAATTATGAGTATTATATGCATAAGAGAGTTGAGCGCATTATGACTCCTTTTGACTACTCTGTTAAGTCAGAAGATGATGACAACACTTCAGGGGTGGCATTTAGAAATACCTGGGCTGTGCCCCATTCTACTTTGAATTGTTCTGAAGATACTCATGCTGGTGAAGACTCATCTAGGATGCATATCTTCTGTTTAGAGCATGCTGTAGAAGCAGAGCAGCAACTTCGCCCAATTGGAGGAGCGCACATATTGCTCCTATGTCATCCAGGTCTGATATTTTGTACTGCATTTTTATCTCAAGCCCAAGTTCTTTGGGAAAACACATTGCATTGTTTATCTTAAGTCGGCCATAGTCACCTGGTCACTAAGATTGAGATGGAATTTTGTTCAATTTAGGTTGCATGGTAAGAAAAGTGTGAAATTTGTTCCCCCTGTTCATGAGGTTGTTCAAGTATACTAATATTAAAATTTCAAGTGGTCTGATTGATCCATTATCCTGGAAGATGTAAGCACATATGAAGTTATTGTTTAAACTTTGATGTTTATAGTTCTACATGGACAAAGCAGGAAACTCAAACTGTACTTGTTTCCCTATTTCAAGCTGTTAGAGGTCAAAAAAAGAAATAGGAGAATAACAGGATAGTGAGAAAATTCTAGTATTATTTCTCAAAAAAGGTGTTGAATATAGGGAAAAACTGTATAGGGTTAATTTCCCTTATGTATTTACCACACATAGGGCAGTGTATTTATAATAAAGAAAGGTACTCCTCAAAAGAGTAACAGAATACAAATAGGGTAAATAAAAAGATATTATTTGATATTGTGATTAACAATATCTAACAATATCTCAACAATATCAAACAATATCAACTAATATCTAATCATATCTAACACTCCCCCTCAAGCTGGAGCATACAAATCGTATGTGCCTAGCTTGGTACAAAGATAATCCATCCTAGGTCCCCGTAAAGACTTAGTGAAAATATCTGCTAATTGATCACATGAGTTAACGAACTCAGTCTTGATGTCTCCGGACATAATCTTTTCCCGAATAAAATGGCAGTCAATCTCAATGTGTTTAGTCCTCTCATGAAAGACAGGATTAGAGCTTATATGGAGAGCGACTTGATTGTCACACACTAGTGTCATTTGAGTGACATCTCCAAATTGTAGCTCTTTAAGCAATTGCTTGAGCCAAATAAGTTCACAGGTAGCCGAGGCCATAGCTCTATACTCGCTTCGCACCTGGATCTTGCCACAACACTTTGTTTCTTACTTTTCCATGAGATCAAGTTACCACCAATGGAAACACAATACCCGGATGTAGATTTTCTATCGAGAGGAGATCCTGCCCAATCGACATCCGAATAGCAGCACAACTCTTGTATGATTATGGGAGTCATACACCAAACCTTTTCCAGGAGACTTTTTGATGTACTTCAATATACGGATGACTGCATTCCAATGATCTTGACAAGGAGAATTAAGGAATTGACTCACCACACCGATCGCAAAGGAAATGTCGAGGCGAGTAAGCTGTAAGATAATTTAATTTTCCAACTAATCTTCTATACCTGTTCAGGATCCGACATTGGCTCCCCCGATTTGGCAAGAGTTTGGTATTAGGATCCATGGGTGTGTCAACAGGCTTTGAATTCATCAACCCAGTTTCCTCCAAAATATCCAATGCATACTTTCTTTGAGATATAACAATGTCATCGGTAGATTGTGCTACCTCAATACCCAAGAAATATCCGAGTTTGCCAAGATCTTTGGTTTGAAAATGGTGGCAAAGGTGTTGTTTCATCCGAGAGATGCCATGATGGTCACTACCCGTAAGAACAATGTCATCGACATACACTATCAAATAGATACATCCAAGCATTCGAGTGACTGGTAAAAGACCGAGTGGTCTCGCCTAACTTCTAGTCATGCCAAATTGTTGAACAACGCTCGCTAAATTTTCCAAACCAGGCCCTATGAGACTGTTTTAGGCCATATAAAGATTTGCGAAGACGACATACCAATCCAGAAGACTCCCCCGAGCAACAAATCCGGAGGTTGCTCCATATAAATCTCTTCTTGCAAATCGCCATTCAAGAAAGCATTTTTGACATCCAGTTGATAAAGAGGCCATTGTTGAATAGCGACCATGGCAATGAATAAACGAACGAAGTCATCTTTGCCATCTGGAGAGAAAGTATCACCATAATCCAACCCAAAAATTTGGGTATAGCCTTTGGCTACAAGGCGAGCTTTGAGGCGATCAATAGTACCATCAGGACCAACCTTGATAGCGAAGACCCACCTGCAACCAACAACAGATTTTCCGGATGGTAATGGGACAAGCGTCCGTGTTCCACTAGTCCGAAGAGCACCGAGTTCATCTAGCATGGCCTGACGCCAACCAGGGTGGGCTAAGGCTTCAGAGACAGATTTAGGAATAGACACGAAGAAATAGACGAGAGACAGGTATAAAATGGTGAAGAAATTCGATGATAACTTAAAGCAAGTATAATGTGGAGAAGGATTACGAGTAGAACGCGTACCTTTACGAAGGGCAATAGGAAGGTCGGACTCGTGGAGGGAACCTGAGGAGGCAGAGTATTTGGCACTGGGAGTGAGTCATGTGGCGTCTGTTGTGGGCGAGGTCTCGCGACTATAAACCCGAAGGGGTGGTGGAGGAGGAGGGGCTAATGGTGGATGGTCCTCAACATAAGGATCAATGAGAACAGGGAATGGGAACTGTAGCAGATGGAGACTCAGCAGGTAGGGAAGGGTCCTTAAAGTAAAAGGAAAACTCATTGAAGGTGACATCGGCAGACACAAAATAGCGATTAAGAGAAGGAGAAAAACACTTGTATCCTTTTTGGGATCGAGTAAATCCTAAGAAAACACATTTGTGTGATCGAGGAGAAAACTTATCATGACCAGGATCAAAATTGTGGACAAAACAGGTAGACCCAAAAACCTTTAGAGGTAAAGGATGGAGAGTGTCATGAGGAAATAAAATAGAATGGGGAATTTTGTTATCTAAAACCGAAGAGGGCATACGATTAATAAGATAACAAAGAAGTAAGAACAAGCATCACCCCAAAAATGTTGAGGAACCTCACCATGAATTAAAAGAGTACGGGTTGTTTCAATAAGGTGTCTATTCTTGCGCTCGACCACCCCATTTTGTTGAGGGGTATAAGCACAGGAAGTTTGATGAAGAATGCCATGAGAAGCCATAAATTGTTTAAACGAGTTTGAAAGATATTCACGGCCATTATCACTTCGAAAAGTTTGAATAGAGACACCAAATTGATTTTTAATTTCATGATAAAAGTTTTGGAATATAGAAAACAACTCGTAACGATTTTTCATTAAAAATAACCAAGTACAACGAGAGAAATCATCAATAAAAGTAACAAAATATTGAAAACCTAAATTAGACTTAACACGACTAGGTCCCCAAATGTCGAGTGAACTAAGGCAAAGGGGGATGAAGCACGCTGGGAAACACTACGAGAAAAGGAAGTACGACTATGTTTGCCTAACCGACGGGACTCACACACCAAATTGGACAACCTGGGATAAGCTCGGGAACAAGTTGCTGTAATTTGCGCAGATCAGGGTGACCAAGCTGAGCATGAAGGAGAGAAGGAGACTCCATAACTCGTGCCAACATGTGGAGAAGGTTGAAGATAATAAAGTCCATGTGACTCACATCTGGTGCCAATCACTCTTTGCGAGCTCCGGTCCTGTAGGGAAACAGAAGTTTTGGTAAAAGAGATAACACAATCAAGAAATCGAGTTAGACGGCTAATGGATAATAAGTTAAAGGGGGACCCGGGTACATACAAAACATTATCAATGGACAACGAGGGAAAAAGAGTAACCGTTCCAACACCATGAGCTAAAGTTGTAGACCCATTAGCCATTGTAACAGAGGGTAAATTATGAGAAGAAGTGAAAGAGGAAAATAAGGATTTGTTACCGAGTGATGTGATCGGTGGCGCCTGAGTCAAGAACCCAAGGGCCAATAGAAGAAGAGTGAGTCGGACCAACAAAAGATGTACCGTGTGGGCAACGAAGTAGTGGAACTGGAGGGCTTTCGATCCTCATACCATTGAAGAAAATCATTGAAGATAGCAGATTTGTCCGAAGGTACGAGACGAAGGAGGATCCACAGCGAGAGGATTGTGCGGAAGAATCGATCCGAGCAACTGCAGCAGATCGGCGAGGATAACCATGTAAAGCATAACATTTGTCAATTTTGTGGCCTAGTTTGCCACAATGGTCACACTTGACACGCTCTTTGCCTGGCTTGTGAGAGTGATTACGATCATCACGGTGAGAGGCCAATGCAGATGAATCATTAGAAACTATAGGGGGAATATTGAGAGGTTTACATGGCACCCGCAAAAGGGAGGAACTGGTAGCGGTAAAACTGGGTGTAACAGGGGAACCCAAAATCTGGTCACGAACAGGGGCATATTTATCAGCAAGTCCGTGTAACATCAAAACCATGAAAAACTTTGATCGTTGCTCTAATTCTTGGGCAGGAGTCGAGGCAGGGGGTAATAACTCATTAAATTCATGGAGAAGAGCATGGTAAGATTGAGATGGAATTTTGTTCAATTTAGGTTGCATGGTAAGAAAAGTGTGAAATTTGTTCCCCCTGTTCATGAGGTTGTTCAAGTATACTAATATTAAAATTTCAAGTGGTCTGATTGATCCATTATCCTGGAAGATGTAAGCACATATGAAGTTATTGTTTAAACTTTGATGTTTATAGTTCTACATGGACAAAGCAGGAAACTCAAACTGTACTTGTTTCCCTATTTCAAGCTGTTAGAGGTCAAAAAAAGAAATAGGAGAATAACAGGATAGTGAGAAAATTCTAGTATTATTTCTCAAAAAAGGTAATCAGAAAATACAGTAGGGTGATGATCTTACTGCTACAGAGCAAGCTCCTTAAAAGAAAACAACATCTTCTGCCCATAACATAAACCCCCCCTTCTCTCACTTATTTTTCTCCCTCATATTCGCCCTACTCTTCTCACTCATTAGCTGATTTGTTACATCTTTTTCCACCTCAGCATTTCTCTTCATACCCTTTTTTCTCCTTTCATACACCCTCCAAACTTTGGGCTTACTGTGAACATCAAAGCCCACATTTTTCAGTCCTATCACAAGCATTGAGTGAACCTCTGCCATAATTAGTATCCATAGTAATTGGTATACGGTGTTTAAACTCATTGCTTTTTTGCATATTTGTGGGCTTTTGTTTACACTGTTTAGCATATTGTTACTGATATTCCCCTCCTTGCCAATCTTTCATGATTTATTTTGCTTATTTCTACAGATTTTCCAAAGATAGAGGCTGAAGCAAAGTTGGTCGCAGAGGAACTGGAGATTGATTATCTATGGAAGACTACTATATACAGGCAATCCAAAAGGGAAGATGAGGAGAGGATCCAATCAGCTCTGGATAGTGAGGAAGCTATTCCTGGAAATGAGGACTGGGCTGTAAAGCTGGGAATCAATCTCTTTTATAGTGCCAATCTTAGCCGCTCAGCACTTTACAGTAAGCAGATTCCATACAATTCTGTTATATATAATGCATTTGGTCAAAGCTCTCCAGCAAGCTCACATACAGAGCCCAAGGTCTATCAGAGAAGGACCAACAGGCAGAAGAAGGTAGTTGCTGGGAAATGGTGTGGTAAAGTTTGGATGTCCAATCAAGTCCATCCCCTTTTAGCAAAAAGAGACTCCAAAGATGTTGAGGATGAAAAAGCCTTACATGGGTGGCCATTGCCTCATGAGAAAATTGAGAGATCAGAAAGTAACCTCAAATGCAAAACTTCGACTAGAAAATCTGGTATGAAATGGAGAAACTCTGTTCAGAAAGGAGTTAGCAGGGAAGAAAGTTTTTCTGAGAGAGATTGTCTTTCAGATAATTCGATTGAAGATAAATCCAATAAATATCAAAGGAGGATTCTTGGTAGTAAGCGAACCAGGCATATTGAGAGAGATGATACTGCTTCAGATGGGGATTATTCTCCTCTGCCCCATCATAGAAAGCCTATAAACAAGCATTCAGAATCTAGTGAAAATAGTGCAACTTCAGATGATTTGCTGGATGATGATTCTTGTATACAGCATCGGAGGAAGGCTAATACCAATAAAGCTAAATTTATTGACAGTGATGTATTTTCAGATGATACAATGGACTATGGTTCTGATTGGTCACGTAGGGAAGACCTTGGCAACGAGCAAGATGCTATTTCTGATGATTCGTTGGGTGTTGGTTCTCTTCAGATGCGCAGAATGACTCATAAAGGCAAGTATGAAGAATTCATTGCTGAAGAAGACGTGATTTGTGATGATCAAAGGGAGGTTGGTTTTTGGAATCAGAAAGGGAAGATATCTAAAGGCAGACAAAGATCTGTTTCTGCAAAAAATATCAATCAGCTGGAGCACGAGAAGCAGAAGCAGCAACAAAGGAATCCAAGAAGCAGGCAAGATAAGCACCTGGCAGCAGAGAATATTATTTCTGATGACCAACTGGAGGGTAATTTTTGCAAGTTTCAAAGAAGGATTCCTAAAAACAGACAAGCCATGTGCATCAATGAGGAAGATGTAATGTCTGATGATCGCTTGAAGGATCTCTTTCAGAAACCCAAACGAAGTACTCGAAGGAGCAGGAAAGATAAATACAATGATAAAGACGTTATGAATGATGTGGCTGAAAATAATTTTCATATTCTGTATAGAACTCGTAAAAGGAAGCAAGCTAAAGGCATGGATGAGGACAATATAAATTCAGATGATCAAATGGAAGATATTTTTCATCAGCAGCACAAAAGAACTCTTCAAAGTAAGAAATCCAAATCACAGATTCTTCAACAAATGAAACAAACTAATCCTCTCCGTGTGAGAAACAAGACATCCCGTCCTGTGAAACAAGGTATGCTAATGAAATCAAAGACTGCTCGGCAGGCAAAGAGTCAATCTGGTAACTCCAAAGGCTTAACAGTACTTGTGGAAGAGGTGGAAGATGGTGGACCTCGCACACGACATAGGAAGAGAGTCCTAAAAAATCAAGAGTCTGAAGGAAAATTAAAAGAAAAGGAAATCAAAAGGGAAAAGGTGAAGAATACAACAGCAGCAAAGGTTTCAGTTGGCCATGCCAAAATAAAGGATGAGGAATCAGAATATCAGTGTGACATTGAGGGTTGTACCATGAGTTTTGGGTCTAAACAGGAGCTGTTGCAACATAAGAGAAACATTTGTCCTGTGAAAGGATGTGGAAAGAAGTTTTTTTCTCACAAATATCTAGTGCAGCATCGACGAGTTCATGAGGATGACCGCCCTTTGAAGTGCCCTTGGAAAGGATGCAAGATGACTTTCAAGTGGGCATGGGCACGCACTGAGCACATTAGAGTTCACACTGGGGCTCGTCCTTATGTGTGTGCTGAGCCAGGGTGTGGGCAAACGTTTAGATTTGTTTCTGATTTCAGTCGTCATAAGCGAAAGACCGGTCATTCAACAAAGAAGAATTGTTGATAACAAGTGTGATAGTGATAGATGTTAGCGTTGTTGACGAATTTATTAATCTATTGCTCAGTGTCAATTAGGACTAGGTGTTAATTAACAGTTCAGGACATATTCCCTGGAATTGCCATTGGGAATAACTATTAATCCTGCTTGGGTAGGTGTTATTGTACCCATTTATTTATAGTATAGCAAGCAAAGCAATTGCTTAGATATGAACATGATTTTCATCCATTGCATATCTCCTGCTTGGTGAGGAATTCATACTCCAAGCTAGAAGGTCCCACTCATGAGATACCAAAATCACGCACTTTTGATACCAATTGTCCACAAAATTTTGTGGGCACGATCTTAGAAAATGTTAGCAGTTGCACATTTTCTGTGCAGCAGGATATGGCTTCTATTTCCTCTACACCAACTCATTCAATAGAAGAATTTCCAATCGCCAATAGATTGACATGCATGTGGCATATGGGGAATCTTCTTCAAATCAATATTTGGTCACTTTTAGTAATTTATTCTCTTCCATACTCTTTGCTTACATTCCATTTTCTTTACTATGCTCCCATTTTCATACTATTTTTAGTACTTTATTTTTAACACCTACTCTATTTGACTTGTAGAAACAGAAAAAGTGCAGTCACGGTCATTTAGGAGAGGAAAGAAGAGGATGGTAAAGATGCATGACAATGGTACTATATTAATAACGTCATTTGAGTGGTTTGAAATTTACTTGACCAGCAATTTTTGCGTTTCAAACAACCAGGTTCGTTTGTGAATGAAGGAAGAGAAATTGATAAAAAGAGTTGGCGTCTATGCCTTTCTTCTTTTTGTTTCACTGATTCTCTATTTTTTTAATAAAAAATTGTGTCAAATTGATGGTGAATGAAGGAACAGAAATTCATAAAGAGTTGGCGTTTTTCTAGATTCTTCTGATTACATTTGTCTGCTTGGTCAAGTGTGACCATGTGATACATTTTTGTGGAACTTTCTTACCAGGACCCTGTTTCAAGGGTGATTGTAGTTTCCTGCATGAGTCATGATGGATAATGGGAGGGAGAGCTTACAAAACAAGTATCTGCACTTTTTCCATTTTTTTGAGTGTGTTGGATCCAGTGCTGCCGATGGGGTGCTTGATGCTCCTTCTTTGTGTTGATTGCTGGTGTTCTTCATATTCACTCTCAATAACAACTCCAAATCACAATGATCAGTTAAGGGTGAGGGCACCATTAGTTGTAGAATTCATTTCTTTTCCTATTTGAAATTATGGCTTTCAATTAAGTGTATTGTATAGTTAAGAGCAAGTTGTCCTGAACAAGCAGTGATGTGAGTTCAGTCGTTTCATTAAGCACTGTTAAATGAAACATTTTAAGCATGAGGGTGGGACTTTTTTCGCGAAGAATGAGACTATTTCTGAGAACTTGTGTTTGTTTCTCCTGACAGGGGAGATCAAGTCATACGTTTTCCTAAATGGAATGGCAAACCTTTAGGTCGGGTAATCTGATTTTTTATCTGGTCTTTGAACAAGTTTTAATGCAACAACTTTGAGTTGTCTGAATTGACAATTATTTGAGCGGTTTTGTTGATATACCTCTTGCATGATTAGTGATTCTTTGGTGGCATGCTTACAGAATACGTTGATCTTCCACCAGAAGTCACCCAAATTCTGTAGATTGAACTCTTTCTTCTACTCGTTTTACTTCACTTCATCATGGACAATCTTTGTCTGCCAAAATTGTTGAAGTTTATTTTTGTTTCTGTTCTTTGAGTTGTCATGCCACTGTTTTGTGAATTTTATTTTAAAATTTCACTTAAGTGATAGAGTTTTGGCTAAAAATGGGTGTTTTTATAGGTGTAATGCAGGTTTACGACAATATAAGCATACAAAAGACTGGATTCTTGATCAAAGGTATTATTACTGGTAGGTTTCACCAACAAGCTGCCAAGGTGAGGAAACACTACTACATCAGCGATCCAACTACAGAAGTTGTTAATGTTTCTAATTATAGTTTTTCCATAATTATAAAAGTAAATATAGGGTCCAATGCATTGAATTTTAATTAAAGTAAATATATCTTCCATTGCATTGAATGTTAATTAAAGTAAATATATTTTTCATTGCATTTGATGTTAATTACAGTATGTGTTGCACATCTTCATAACTTGAAATAGGCAGCATGTGTAGAATTAAATGTTAATTTATATTATGTGTCGCATGCCTTCATAACTTGACAGTGTTAGTATTTGTATGATCATAGGTAGAATGATGTAATTGAATTATGTTGATCGTTGGATGCATGCTTTTACATTTTGACGTGATAAGTTATAATATGTGATGTACAAAAAGAGCATGCTGCAGCCTTTGAAGACTAGCTCGTTGGCTTATATGTTTTGGATATAGTCTATTTTCCTTTGCTTTTAAATCAAGCCTTGATAAAAAAAATAGACGCAGCACATATGTGACTTGGTACATGACTACATATATTCTATTATTATTATTATTATTATTTGTGCAAACCAACGTCTCTTGATTTGCTATACACGAGTTTTACGTAAATTTCCTAATGGTTGATAATATGTAATCTCGCAAAAAAATGTATTAGTTAACTGATAAATTTCATTCCCTAATATCTAATATTTTTAATTTCTATTTTGTATTAAATACTTTTTCTAATCTATTTATTTAGAAAAGTTCAATTTCTTAATATTGTAGTTAAACTACTTACTTTCTTTCAATTCTATAAATCTACCAATTTGCTAATTATTTTTCTATAGCTTTTCAATGACACAGAAACAGAGGAAATATTTTTTTATATTTTATAAAAGTGAAACCTTGGTTCAAAAGTTTTTTCACAATTGTTTTCCTGTTTCTTAACGTGTCTTTAAATATAAATATAAATATATATGTATATATATATATATATATATATATATATATATATATATATATATATATACTTATAGAAAAACAGTGGATTAGAAGAGATTTTGAGTGAATTTATAGGAGTTGATGTGATGGATGTAAATGAATATAACATGATTGAATAATAATATTTTTAGTATAATGGATAAATTAAGTAGAAATTAAAAGTGTAATTATTAAAAAATTAGATAGGTTAAAATTAAATTTGAGTAATTATTATATTGATTTTAAAAATTTTATTTTTATTTTTAAATTTATCGATTTTGATAAATATAATATTTTAAATTCATAATCTAATTTTTAAAAGAATAAATTTTATTTTTATACTTTAAAAAAATGTAATATTTATTTTAATAAAATTAATAAAAAAGCTAAATATAATTTTAATATTTTCTAAATATAGTGTTAATATTTTTTTTATAAAAATCAATAAAATGATAAATTTTTTTCTAAAAATTATTTATTAAATTTTTAAATAAAAAAGATGAACAAATTATTTTCCCGTATTTTAATTTTGGTATATCTAAAATTATAATTAAATCGTATCATAATGTATATATATATATATATATATATATATATATATAATTATTTTTATTTTTTTAATATATAATATTAAATGTAATTCAGTATAATATTTAACTTATATATTTTCTTAATATTGGATATAATTAATATTATTTAACACAATTTAAATTATAATTAAAAATATAGTTATGAAAACACTATCTTAATTAAAAATAATTAAAATTATATTAAAATGATGACATAATTAACTATGTATTGTTTATGGACTGTTTTATAATCTATTTCATACTTTATATGTGACCGATATATAAATTACTACACATTCAAACAAGGTACATCAGTACAAATCTTAATTCACACATCAACAGTAAATTGATAAAAAGCAAGTACTTAATTTAATCTCTTCATTTCATTGAAAAATTCAAACTACAAATTATTTATATAATTAAAAAAATCTTCCGCTTTAAATATAAGAAATATTATGTTTAATAAACAAATAATAAATAAAATAAGATAAATGATGTAATTTATAAAAAAAAAATCCGAAATAACTGTTCCAATCCATTTACAGCATAGTAATAATATTGACTCACAATAAAATTTACAAGAATAAAAAATAATTATGAATTTATTTTAAAAAACATTTATCTTTTACAATACTCCATACTAATCATAAATATATCAATATAAAATTCTGACAATGTTTGCATTTCTTCTACTCCTTCACGGTGTCATGTCATTAAAAAAATCACATGAATGCTGATTTAAATGTACACAACTTTATCATGTTCCCAAAACTGAAGATCATAAATACTTTATTTTGTAAAAATAATAATTGTGTGGGCAAAGAGTCACTTAGATGTTCTCACCTACACCCATTATAATAAGTGTTTTTGAAAAGAAAAAAAAATTGAATAAGGAGATATTTGACCTTACAAAAACAATGAGACTATAAATCAATCTAGTCATGGATTTATTATTATTATTATTATATTATTTATAATTTGTAATGATATTAAAGAAATCAATGAATTGAAATTCCATATAGCTTCCTACTTTAGCGTTAAAAAAATATACAAATGTCCGAGTAACAACATAAGACGTGACATCATGAATTTGAAAGATACAAATTCTAGGTTGACAGAGTTCATGTACGTATTATTTATGAAGATGTGAGTAAACATTTTTTTTACAATTTTATAACCTAGGTTTAAACAAAAACAAACTTCGTTCTAAAATATACAACATAATTTATTAAAGTTTCATAAGCAAGTTTTTATATCCATCAAATTCACACGCAATATTCTCTAAGTTTGAGTTTAATTTTATAGAAAACTAGTTATTTATTTATTTATTATTATTATATTAATTTATTGAATAATATAATATAAGAATGTTTATAATATTAATGTATATATTATTTATAAAAAAATTATATATTTTTTAACTATAATATTTTTATTAATTTTTTGTTATAATCACGATCTCAATTGTCGTATAAAATGTTGGTTTATTAATTGTTAGAGTAAAATTTTTAAATATTTGTATGATTTTTGAAACTACTAATGAAGTAAATTAAATTTAAATCTGATCCCATGTTTGAATTTCTACACACAAAAATGATTACAACACTCTACTCAAAGATCAACCAAATTCTCAGATCATATATTAATCAAGATCAAAAAAATGTAAATAATTCATAAATATAACATGAAGAGAATATTAAAAAAATATATCATCTACAATTCTCCTATTTATTATATTATAAATAATAAAATATATGTATAAAAAAGTGTGTTTTCCAAAACAGTACACAGCACATCAACGATACAAAGTAGCACACTTTTTTTCCCTTTTTATGTTCACACTAACTCATACAGTCACAGTGCTTCTGGTTTCTGATTCCCTTCATATAAAAACGCTACCTTTTTCTCCTCCTTACTCTTCTGTTTTCTCCGTGCGTCTTGTTTCCCTTTTTTTTCTTCTTTAAAACAAAAAAATCACCTTCTGTTATTAGGGTTTGAAATGTGGAGGGAGAATGGAAGGCTCTGAATCCGATTCTGTGCCACTTGCCATTTCCAATGGCGAAGATCCCCAATTGGGGGCTCATTCTTCCCCGCTTTCTCCTCCTCTTCCTCAACTGTCAGATCTCAATCACGCGGCGGAGCACGAGGCACTCTCTGGGGAGCTTCAGAGCAAGTTGGATTTGAAGGGTGATGATGAGAGTGAAGATGAACGTCAGGAGAAAGTTTCCTACTTGAACAACGGTGGAGGAGTTTGCGACGAAGAAACTGCTAAGGGTGATGAAGATAGTAAGGGTTGGGAGACAAATAGTTGGAATGAGGAAGTGGGTGTTCACGTCGATGCTGATGAATATGGAGTGGAGAAGAAGGAAGAGAGAAACAGTGATGTAACTCACCACTACCCTTTGAGGCCTGAAGCAGAAGATTGTGCATTTTATATGAAAACTGGGAATTGCAAGTTTGGGTTTAACTGCAAGTTTAATCACCCCATTAGGAGGAAAACTCAGGTACTTCTTATGCCTTTATTCTCCGATGTATGCCTTTTCCTGATATTATGTTCGTTAGTGAGCTTTGATTTTTGTATGGTTGGCTTGTATGCATTGCATTGATATCTGTTAGCGAACAGTATAGCATTGTTGGAGGTTAAGCTTTGGAACAATTCACTTGTGTAAAGGTTATATTTTATCAGAGATTTCCTTTCTCTTTGATGACATAGTATTATTTGTGGTGCTGGATTGAGAACAAGAGTATTTTGCCTTTGCTGAAGGTATATTTTTTATTGGAGGAACTGGTGAATGGTCATAACTGTTACAATGCCTTTTAGGTAGTTGATATTGAACTTTAATTTTTGAAGGAAGGGCTATCTTAGGTTATTTGCTAATATGACTTTATAATGTGTCTGTGTTGCTCCGTCTTTTTATTCTAAAGCACTGCTAAATGACTTATTGAGGCTTCAACATTTGCCTTTTTTTGTGAGATCTCCTGTATTACCTCTTCAGATTTAATAAGGTGTTGGTAATTGAGTATATCAACGAGGTTCCCTTCACCATTTTATGCCTGAAAACTTATTATACAATGTTCACTGCTTAAAATGTTCTTCTTTGTCTTGATATGTCAACGATCAACAAAGGCTGCTAGAGAGAAGTCCGGAGAAAGAGAAGAAACCTCAGAGAGATCAGGCACAACAGAATGCAAGGTTATTATCAGAATTATTCTTCTAAACAAATTTTAATTCTCATGTTTGTTATTTCAGCATATTATCATATTTGTTTTAATGTTCATATTATAATAATTTAAATACAAGTTCCTTCAGCTACGTGAATTTCCATGGAAGATTGTATGTAAGTCACTGTAAGATTAATTCAAGGTGATTCAACTTAATGTATAATTTTATATTTTTCATTTCTTTCCGTGACATTGAGATCATAGATCATTTATATGCTGTATGTTTAATTTTGGGTGATTTCATATTCTTTCATCTCTAGACTTTTGGGTGTGGGGTTGGCAAAGTAATATAAATAGAGTGTATTCTATATTAGAATTTCTTATCAATAAATAGTTTCCTGTGGCTGAGAATCAATATATGAGACGTGTTGATTACTTGTGTTTGGATTGTCTTGATCTATGCAATCTACATAGTGTACATAAGACATGGACAGGGTAAACCGTGAAATACCTGTCAGGGTGATTTGGTTTTTACTGTGGCATTTTTGTTGACTGAGTTTTTTCTATTTTGCTTTATCATACTGACCTAGCAAGAATAATGATGATAATGATATTAATTTTAATAAAATGAATGGATAATAAAAATTATAAGTAAATGATATCAATTGTTGGGTTGAAATAAAATATTGGACTTTCAAAACAACTAATGGGGAAAAGCAAGTTTGTATATGATTTTTTCTCTTGCTCAAACCATCTAAAATCAGCAAATGCCACTACTCATGTCATGACATGTTCATAACAATTTTTTCCTGATCTTATGGCAGTTTTATCAAAGATCTGGGGGTTGCAAGTTTGGAAAGTCTTGTAAATATAATCACACAAGAGGAAAATTTTCAACACCACCAGTTTTAGAACTTAACTTTCTTGGTCTGCCTATTCGTCAGGTACAATCTTAGTTACTTTCCTATAACAAAAGATATATGTGTGTGATCTCTTCCTCTTTCTGCAGTCTTCTAAAATAGTTATTTCTGAGATATTAATAAGGTCATATTTCATGATAGGGGGAGAGAGAGTGCCCCTTTTACATGCGTACTGGCTCTTGCAAATTTGGAGCAAACTGCAAGTTCAACCATCCTGACCCGACAACTGTTGGAGGATGTGATCCTCCTTCGTTTGGTAACGGAGGGTCTATTTCATTACAAGGTGTATCACAACCATCTGTACCCTCCTGGTCTTCTCCAAGAACATTAAACGAAACATCCCCTTTTGTGCCAATGATGCTTTCACCTACTCAAGGTGTTTCCGCCCAAAGTTCTGATTGGAATGGATATCAGGTAAATACATATATTCAATGCCAATAACCATCTGGCCAGGGGCAATTTATTATATACTTAGTACTAGATAATGCAATCTTTATGCTTTGTCGCTGCAGATAAGGTGGTAGTGTTTCTCCTCATTTTTTATTTTTTTTTGCAACTTTATACTGTCTTATCATTGGTTTCCTGATGCTTTTTAAATGACTTCCTAGATTGTAAGATAATGTCATTGTCACCTGTTCACTATTGCATACTTGTCATTAATCTTACACATTTTGTTATATAAGTACATTACTGTAGTAAAATAAATATCAGGTTCTTTTAGGTTTGAGTGCCATATACCCAAATCAATTTACTTTTAGAAGTACAAAAAAGTTCATATAATATATGAGGTCATATTTTGTTGATCTGGTGTGAGTTATTTTGTTAAATCATGCATATTTGCCTTTATGGCTAAAAGTGAATTTGAAATTGCACCTATTACTGATCCTTAAAATAAAATATGATTATGGCATCTAATGTTTAGAATTTGTGATCATTCTACAGCCTCCATTTCCCTTCCTCCCCAGTATTTGTTATTATTTTTTCTCTTCCTTGATTTTATGGGGAGCATTTTACTCTTCGGTATGCAATGCAAGACCTGAGTGGTCTTATTTCTTTACCTGAGTTAACTATTAAGTCAGATGAACACTTGCAAATGGTTGTTTTCCCATCAAATTGACCCATTTGTGGTTTGTAAAGGCATCTGTCTACCTTCCTGAGAGGAACATGCATCCACCTTCTACATTTGTCTTGAGCAACCCTGCAGTCGATACAAATGTTTACATGCACCATCAAAAGCAGATGTCTGTGGAAGAGTTTCCTGAAAGACCTGGTGAACCTGAATGTAGCTACTTCCTAAAAACTGGAGATTGCAAGTTTAAATCTAATTGTAAATTTCACCATCCAAAGAATCGAATTGCAAGATTACCTCCATGCAACCTTAGTGACAAGGGTCTTCCTTTGAGACCTGTAAGGTTTCATTTCTGAAAAGATTGAAAATTCTTTTGGTTTTGAAAAGATATTTCCTTTAATTTGTTTAGTCATATGGGACTACAAGCTTGGTTGGCTAGTTCTTTTTTATTTAATGTTCATTTTATTTGTAATGAAATCCAGGATCAAAGTGTCTGCTCCCATTACAGTCGCTATGGAATTTGTAAATTTGGACCAGCTTGTAAGTTTGACCACCCGATAAACTTGCAGCCATTAATGATGTCTGGACTTGGTGAGCAGTCATACTCAAATTCAGCTGGTGTGGAGGAAGCTGGGATAGGCGAAAGTACAGGTGAAACTGATGCAACAATTCAGCAATCTGTGTAAACATGTGTTGCCTGAGGATCTTCTGGACTTATGAAACCATATCACTCAAAATTTGTAGTTTTCTTCTAAAACATGATAAATTTATTTAACTTTTTCCTAGCACTGTTCAATGCAGCACAAGCTTTGCAGAGAATAGCAACATATATATGTCAAACAGTTTATATGTATTTATCACAAGTAACATTTGTATGTGTAGATTATGTTTTATTACTGGTTTGTTTTCTCTTGATTGGATAAGTGTTTGGATTATAATTAGTTTGGTTTGAAGTGGTTGTGGTTGATTTTCTTTTTTACTTTTGCCAATGGGATTATGAACCTTGGTATGTCGGAATTGGCAACTAGTGGACACATCTGATGGGTAAAGTAAGTTGATATAACCAACCCACATGGAGATCAGTGTTTTGGTTTGCAAAAGATTCACATTACGATTTCTAACAATTTGTGAAGTTATTATTTTTTTTTTCTCTGGGTTTGATTGACTTTGAATTTTATATGTTTGTCAGTTTGATGCATAAGCTCAAAGAAGAAACTAGTGATGCCAGCAATTTTTTTTTTTTTTCAAACATAAATAAGGCTCTCAGACTCTTATGCAGGAGAATAAGAAATCCTATTCGGCTAATAAAAATGGATTTTACGCTGGTTTGGATGAGATTTTTCATAAACATCTTCTAAGAAAGAAAAATAATAAAAAAATAAAGTTAATTTTTTCAAAAGTTAAAATTAATTGATACACAAGTTAGAAATAAATTTCCGAATAATTAGATTGGAGAAGTGTTAGGAAATAATTTATACATAAGCCTAAGTTAATTAAAAAGTTTTCTAAATAAGTAATTTATAGTGAAACTTGTTCAAACATGTTAACGAGTAATGCCGTAGCTGCATGAAATGGCTAAGTTTTGTTTCATAAAATAAATTATCAAAAAGAATGAAAGTGTTCCAGAACACATCCACATCTTACATGATTAGTTGTTTTCGCTAGATTTATGGTTTGATTGTTTGAAAGGGATGGAGTGAAAACAGATAATTGAGTTTTTTTAATATGAAAGAAATAGAAAAAGAGCATTAAAAACTATAACTAAATTATTTTTTTACTTTATTTCTTACATTTTTTTCACTTATTGTTTATTTATCTCTATTATTTTTCATTTTATTTTTCTCATATTTCTTTATTTTTATCCACTGTATTATTTTCTCCATCAATCACAACCTTAATTCCTATTACTCTACCTACATCCTGATCCAGTTTAATGTAAGTTGGATTTTAGGTTTTCGCTCGATTTCTTTTATCTAACTTTGTATTAAACATATACGCGGGACCGTTGGGTGAAGCAATTAATTTCTTAAGAAAATTAAAATATAATTGTTAAAATTAACTATAAAGTAAAAAAATAACTTCAAAACAAATAAATTAGTTAATAAGAGTTAATTGGCATTCAAGTACAAATAGAAATTAAAAAAAAGAATACGAATAATAAAGTTTAAATTACATCATTGGATAACCTTTTATGCAAATAATTTAAACATTGTGTTCAGATGTTGTTACCGACAGACAATGTTAAACCTTGAAAAATGAATTTTGAATGTTAGTTTATTGCAAAGAAATGAATTTTGTTAATAGTGTTGTGAAAAAGTGTAATCCTCCATTCTTATAAAACCGAATTTAATTGATTGATTTGTCTTAATCTTGAATAGTTTTTAAATAATATATAACATTTAAATATCAGGTTTTAATTTATTTTCAGAATTGAAAGCATGAAGAAAATTATTTAGAGAAAAAATCAACATTCAAGTGAAAATATTAGGCTATATTAAAATATTGGATTCTTTTCGAAATGTTTGCGTTACTTATAAAATATTATTAATAGTGCCAATTTTCAATAATAAAAATTATTTAAATCTATCTAAAATTATATTAAATTTCTATAAAAGGTTTGCCATAAGCCCCAAATCTACTTTACACATCTTGCAAAATTGTTACACATTTTTAAATTAAGTAGATTAGAGAAACATATAAGAAAGGGCCTAAATTTATTTATTTTACTACATAAGCACTTAAAAATAGAAACACAAAAATATCACCCATTATTAATCAAATAATCTGTTACTGTTTCCGCACAATGGTCATATAAAACACATTCAATTACGCTTCTACAACTACAAAATCTTTGTAAATAGTTAATATACATATTTTCTGTTATTTTCACAAGAAGACACTTTACCTTTTCTTCGTTAATGTAATGGTGGGTGCACAGACTCTTAAATACTAAATCGAAATAATAAAAATAGAAAAGAAAATTCTTTAATTAATTAGTATTACAGAGAAGATTATTACCATAAATCTTCAATTGAACAGAACTAATGTGAAAGAAATAAATGAATAGTAGTAGTAACATCAATTATCATTAATAATAATAATAATAATAATTGGGAAACATTCTGTACAATTTTTTCTTCTTCTGCTTTTTTTTTTTATATATATATTTGTACTTTTTTTTTTTCTGTTACACAACACCACCTTGTTGCGCAAGTGATCAATTCATACCTGTAAACCAACTTCGTCAATTAAGATCACCTGAACAAAAAAAACAAGGTGTGAAATTTCAATTTGCTTATAGCTAACATCAAGAACAACGTTTCAAGTTGTGATGAAGAGGGCGAAAACAAAGCAAAATAAATTGTAAAAAGAAAGTAAAAAACAAAAAAAAAAGGATCATAAACCATTCTCTGCTTCACCTGATTTGAGAAAACATGGTTCACATCAAATAGGATCATCAAAGCATCATACCCTCGTCTAGGTTCAGCCGCAGCAAAACCACTTGCTCTGCATTTAAAATTCATTTCAGAAAGTAAATAAAAATCATAATTACTTCTGGGAGGATATCAAACACAGCCCAAAACCCAGATAGTGAAAGTTCACCTTCGTAGAGTATTCAGCATTTTTACAACTCTCATTCTTCAATCCAGGATCAGATCTATGTGGGGTTGCCGTAGTCTTCTTCTCATCTCTAGCCTTATTGAATATCACGGTAAAACCTTCAGCTGAGGCAGGATTGTTCACATCCCACTCACCGAATTTAGGCAATGGTCCACCGTTCCCCTGTACATTAAGAAAAGGTTCAACTGTCACTGCATGTTGTGTTGTTCCATGCTTCCATCACTGCATATTATATTCTCTAAAACTGATGAATTCAAAAGATCTTTTATTCAATTGGATCGGATTAAAAAGTAAAACAGAACAAAACAATTCCACCGTTTCCCCACAAAAGAAAAAAGATAATACTGGCAAGATTACCCCAAATGATACACAAGCACTTTTAGTTGCACCTCAAAGGGGAAAAGTGAAGTGCTATTAATTCTTATTCCAGATTCAACCTATTCATCCCTTGTAAACCTCTCATTGAATACTAAATCATTTCGCAAATATTTCACAATCCATAAACTAAAAGATATATATGCATATTCTCAGAAACTGCAATTTTCTAACGATGCAAAGGCTTTACAAAACGGTTTGCGACTTCAATTTTATTCACAAGATCAAAGTGTTGGGGGGTCTTTCTGACCGCAAAGCGATAGTATTTGTCAGCAATATTCTGGCATATAAAGTATTATGATAATCGCGACAACGACTGTAATTCAAAACTTGAAACGCAAGCAATTAGAATGATCCATTTGAGAAACGTGCTATGTACGAGACAAGTTTCTAAACGTGGATTATTCATGATTTGTAATAAAAATTGTGACGATTAGAAAAAGAAAGAATTGAAAGTGATGCGAGAAAAGATACCGAAGCCATGAGGGTGGTTGTGGTTTGGGGTTGAGAGAGAAAAAGAGCAACAATGAGAGATGAATTGATGAGGAACACGAAAGATGAAGAAGAGACAACAATTTGAAGAGCGGTTTGTAAGGACAGACACCGTGTATGTTCGTTTGCTTTGTTGGACATCTCCTCTTGCATCTCACTCTCAACGCCCCTAACCGTTTTTGGTTTTCCGTTAACCACAACGTCAGAACACGTGTGTGTCGTTAAAATATATTCCAATTTATTTTCTAATCTGGAGTGAGAGAAAAATCTCTTCTTTTAAAATTTATGTATTCTTATTTACAGCATAAAAATATGTTGAGATCAAATAAAAATAAATCAATCATATTTAGCATATAAATTAATTATCTTAATATAATAAATTAAAATCTTCACTCTCGATAATAATTGTGTTTACATCACTCTCTTATTTCTCCTTTATCAATTAGAATCATAAAATAAATTAAAAAAATAATTACATTTTTATTTATCTGCCTTATTTATTTGATTAACCAGATATAATTTATCAATCAACGTATGCAAATAGTATTTTAAAAAATACTTTTCCATAGTAAGTTAAGATTTAAATTCTCATCACTCATATTTTTAAACTTTTTTTTCATTGGAAAGTTTATCTAAACTTATTAATTATATGTAATAAACAAACTTATTCAGTAGCATATAACATTATTTTTGACAAGCTATTTTAAAAAACATTTTTAACTCTTAAATGTTTATTAACTTTCTCTTTTATCCTTATATTTAAACAAGGTAAGGTTTATTGTTGTTTTTATTTGTTTAATTTCTGCCTCTTTTTGACAGAAAAGTTTAATTTATTTATTTCTATTAATTTATACTATTTATTTTTTAATTAAAGTATTATATTTTACTACATTGATAATGATAGATGATACTTTTATTTTATTCTGTTTTTAGTTTGTTTTTTTAATATTTTTTTATTTTTTTAATAACCATTACATTATTTATATTAACTATTCTATCCATTTAGCGTCATTATTGAGCATTTATTAAGGGCTGCACCACTTAGCTGGTGTACCAGAGTTTGATATGGATCAACATTTCCAGCTGCATGATCTGATTTTCATCTGCTTCTTAAGAAATATAAAAATTATTTATCTTAATCTCCATAATATGAGTTTAATTCGGAGACAAGGTAAATCTTGTGGTTCATAAACTAATTCGGAGTTTGTTTTTTCTAATGTTATTAATCAAATGTCATGGTTTGGTTTCTTATAAAAAAAAAACACCAATTATAAAGAGATCGATTGATTTTTGTTTTTTATATACTTAGTCATTGAATCAATTTATACATGATATATAATAATAGAATCTTTCTACTTAATATAATCACTCAATTTGTTTTCAAATAATCAGTTATTAATTAATATGTATATAATTGGCAATTAAATCAGTTTTTTATATGATTAATACTTAATGAATCATTGATTTGGTTTCTATATAAGTAGTCGCTAAATTAATTTTTATCAAACTTTATATAATTAGTCACTAAGTTTATTTTTATATAATTGGTTATTAAACTGTATTTTTTATATAATACCAGTATTGAATTGATTTTATATAATTGGTTACTAAATTGGGTTTTATATAATTTAGAACTAAATTAATTTCAGAATAATATCTAAATTGGTCTATCATTAACTATCAAAATTCTATAATTATATTCTACATTAATCTCTAATTGATTTTGAGATTATTTTTATCATTTTAGAGACCTCTAATTTAGTTTATAAAAAAAAAGTCTGGTAGTAAAAAGAATTTATTGAAGTCTATCTTAATTATATTTTATTTCAAACTTGAGTGCAAATATTTTAAGATATAATATAAGATTAATAATTGGTATGAAATATGAAAAGTATAATAATTAAAAATATAATTAAAATAGTTTATCTATAAATATAAATTAGAAAATTTAAAATTACAAATTACAAATTCCTAGAAATACAGGAAGCTCCACGCAAAGTCACCAAAATGTTCACCAAATAAAACAAAAGTTGCACAAGCACAAAGTACTTTTCTAAACTAGAAGCAGATTTGTTCGCTATTGCGTGTATGTAATATGAGAAAAAGGTAAGTTAAGCATTTTGCTTTATGTTATTAAGGTGAAGGTTGCTGGAAAATATTTACTATTATAATAAATGTTACAATCTTGAGCATCAGAATGTTATTGTAGATACCCTCACGTTTTTCGACATTGATAATCGAATACAGAGACATAAGATAATTAATCCATGAAGATCGTTTGATAGTATCATGTTGTTCACAGAACAGCACCACATTTTTTTAATAAATCTTATCAACCCTCTTTTCTTAATTTTTTAATTAAAACTTTAGTAAAACAAATTAATTGAATAACATTATATTATGTATATGTTGAGATTGTTTACCTAAAATTTGATAAAGATAATCAGTCATTCTCATAATTTTTTTCATATAAAATTAATATGAACTCAAACTCAGACAACTCCTTTGAGAATAAATTGATCCATCAATTATAATTTTTTAAAAGATTAAACAAGATGCATTATATAATTTTATCATACTACAAATAGAATATAAGTATGAACTCCAACAAGTATCACTAACTTATTTTAAAGTGTCAAATTTTTTTTCTTTACCAGCTTCAAGTTCACAAAGTTCTAATAGTTGAGCTATTTCATCTAATTCAGTAATTTATAACTCATCATGACATTTAGTCGAAGAATAAAACTCTTTTTAATCTTTCTTATTTAATTTATTTCTTCAGATTTTTTTCTTATGATATATTTAATTATTTATTTTATATGGAGGAAAGGCCAAAATCATAAAGTATATACATAAGTTACAAAAGTTTGAGAGATCATGACCCCTTAATTACTATGAAGATCCAGTCAATGGTGAACACGAGACCGAGACACTCTAATTTATAAAAAAAACATTGGTGTCCAATGGGACCAAGACCCAAGCTTCACTCCACTCGTACATATCCCTTAGTTCTCGATTAAAAAACCTATGTTTCAATACGCTTATGAGTCTCGTATCGCTTAAGAGTAGCTTAGAATTATTACTTAAAATTCATAATATAACCTATAAAAATTTGTGATTTGGTGAATCTTAGACTAAAAAAATAAAGGTTTAGCTCATAAAAATACAAAATAAAAGAAAAACATTCATATCAAAATTAAATACAAAATAAAGTATCGTGATAAATTAGTTTTTAAATTTTAATTGATAAGAAATTAATGTTATTTCTATCTTCTTCTTTTCTTTAATTTTTTTTAACTAGTCTCCATTAACTTTCTTTTTTTCCTCATTATAAAAAAAAACCATAAATTCTAATTTTGTCTCTTATACTTTTATAAATTTATAATTTTAGTTTCTAAATTTAATTTCTTAATTTTTAATTAGCTATAATTTTGGTTTTTTTAATTTTTTAGACAATTTTAATTCTAACTTTGAATTGTCCAATTTAAATTTAAATTTTTATTTAATATGAATTTTATCTCACACATAAATTTTAACATTTTCCTTCAAAATTCTCTACAACAATATTCGTATCAGTTGGATTGTCAAGATAGACGGTCTAATCCAATATGATCTAGTAAAAAAAATAAATTTAATAGATTAGTCTCACCTATATTTTAAAATGAACCATAATTTCTAACTTATACCCCATGTTAAACCAATGAACTAATAAATTAATTTTGACCTAATTAGAAATTTTAAAATATTTAAATAAAAAAAAACTTGAATTGTATTAATGAAATTAATTTTATTTAATAATTAAATATATATATATATATATTATAATAGAATATTTATTCCATCCCAAAACAAAAACAAAAATTTATTTTTAATTAATTTATTGATATAAAATAATATTTAATTTTAACCATTTGATCTTAAAATTAGTGGTGGTTAAAACTTAGTGTAATATTTAATCTTAGAATAACTAAGTTTTCTATCAAATTAATTAATACATATATATTTTTTAATAAAATAATATTTTTATTTTTATTTTAAAAATAATTAATATTTTATAAAATTGACTAAATTTAGATTACAATATTTATATGACTTTTCGAATTAAGTTTATTTTAATATCTGTATAATTTTATTTTTCATTAATACATTCTTTTTTTTAAAATAATTTTATTTATTAACTAAAAGTATAAGTACTGATTTTTAATTTTAGTGACCTTCATCTCAATAAAACACATTTTAAAGAATGATATTTATTTTGTAATTGATTGAATTGACTAATAGAAGAATCATAAATAACAATATTCTTATTAAGTATTTGAAGAAAGTGACCAACAACTTTAATACTTTAGTAAAAGTAAATAAATAATACTTCAATTTGAATTATAAAAAAAAAGTAATTTATGTTTATTATTATTAATTAACTTTTGACTTGAACTATCACTTCATATTTTGCCTTGTTGAGACAGAAATCAACTTTTCCTTTCTAAATAAAGTTTCGTACTTTAACATTGGACAATAGGGACTGCGCTATTGCCAAGAACACAGCCATAAGTTGCTTTTAAAGCTCAAACCTCCTAACCGTTTCTGACAACAATTTTCATAGCAAAATTTAAGGTCGCACTTTAAGTTGTTGCCATTACTACCCCCACATGGACATGGGCTCTCCCAGAAAGAAGCTTCTACATCTCCGCACAAGTTGAAATCAATTTTGAATGAAGTTCGTTTTCAACTTCAATATAAATATACTCACATTTTCACACTACGTTTGAATGGTTCCACATCTACCAAAAAATACTATGTTTGAATAGATGAAAAACGTAAAGAGATAAACTATTTCGTATTTTGTCTATGTAATTTGTGTTATATATGATTTAACAACAATATAAAATATCTTTACATTTTTTTTTCAAAATTAGAATAAAGTGTAATGACGTAAACTCTATCTATTAGTTTGGATGATTATAGAGAATAAAATTAATGACATTATTTCATTCAACTTAATATCTTTTACTTTCTAAACAATTAAAATGCTAACGCCATTATTTAAACAAAAACCTAAATACATTAAAGAGGTGTAACATAGAAGTAGATATAATGTCAATCTCATTTTCCTTTTTCTGAATTTAAAACCTATCCGTTGGTTTACCTTTATCTGTCTCCTAAACATGATACAACATAGAAACCAACCTAAATTGTGTTTTATAATAATTGATTTGGGTGCCGAAAATTATGTATTACAGTTTTAAATTTATAAAATGCAGTAATTTTAACACCAGTTAGGTTTTTTAAAAGAATAAGAAAGAAACATATATTTAGTTAGATAATAAATGAGGCGTTTTAACTAGAGAGAATGTTAATGTAAAATAATAAAATAAATATTTCGTCTATTTTATTATTACATATCTTTATTTGTAATTTTACGTTATAGGTTTTTGTGATTTTATAAAGATTTATAAATAATTTAGTATTTTAAAATTATTAATTTTTTTTACCTTTTTAAGTTTTATATTTTGATAATATAATATGATTGTAATTTGGTTTGAATTAAAAAATTGATTAATCATAAGTTACTAAATACATTTTAGATTGAAAACAAATTATTTAACTGGGATATTAAATATAAAGAATTTAGGAGGTATCTAATTAGAAATTCATGATTAATCATTTGAGTATTTGGTTATTTAAATAATTTAATCTTAAGCACGTAATAATTAGTTGAATTTATGACTGAATCTCGTTTTCATAAGCAATTTTTGGTTTTTAATATATATTCATTTATCAATATTTTCAACTAAATTTTGATAATTATATTAAATAGATGTTTATAAATAAGATTCTCGTTTCGTATTGTGATAGTCTTTATAAATGAATTAGCTTTAAGTGTTTTTACATTTTGTTTTTCGTAAAAATTGTATTTATCAAATAAATAAATCAGTTTAATAATAGGATTTAACTGTAAGATGACAAATTCATGACACAACCATTAAGAAAATTTGAATATTGTAGTATTTATTGTATAATATGAGTAAAATAATCTTAAATTTCAGTCATTATTAACTCATTAATTCAGTCATTAAACCATCTCAAATCATCAATCAAGATTTTACTTAATTTAAACAGTTGTGTTAAAAAAAATTACTATAAAAAACAAATAAGTAGAGCTTGGAGGTGGTAGTTGGTAACCATTAATGAATAACACAATAACCTAACCAAAGAAAGGTCGCATATTTATTTTCAATACACATGCTTTTACTTTCACAAAATCACCGTGAAAAACGGTTCATTCAATGATGTCTTAATAATTAGAAAATTTAATTATTTTTTAATTCATCTCCTCACCAATGTATTTATGAAGAATATTATTATAACTAAAAAATAATTTTCTATTTGATGTTAACCATATATTTATAATTTTTATGAATTTTTTAACCAAGTAGTATTTGCTAATAAATTTCTATTTGTGCTATTAATTAAATTTTTAATTTTTAATCGGTTTGATGTCTCCAATTATTTTCACATGTTAAAAAATTATTAATAAAAAGAAAATACAACTACAACAAAATACGTGTCATGCCACGAACACTACTATAAATGTAGCTTCCCAGCTACTCTAAGCAGAAATATTTATGTAAAAGGGACACTCAACGGTGCATAAGAATCACCAGCGAATGGACCAAAGTCAATTCAGCAACAAAAACATAAAATTTGTCCAGTATTCAAAATATGACTACGGATTTGTTATTTTCCCAATTTTTTAGTTTTGAAAAATAATTCTACCTTATTTTTTAAATATGATATTTTGGATCAATTTTTTTTAACGAGTAAATTCTAAGTTTTCATTTATTTAATCGTGTTTTGATTTTTCTTTTTTTTGTAGAAAATTAAGTTATGTCAAATAGAACTGAAAGAAAATAAATATTAAAAACAATTCTTCAATGAAAATCTTTTCAAAAAGAACATTCAAAAGTTTTTTTTAATTTCTTCTTTTATTTTTAATTTTAGATAAAAATATTTAAAGAAAAATCCTTATTGTATTGATCAATTAATATAAGGTTGTTTAAACTTAAGCAATAGTTTTGTGTTTGAGTCTTAAATATTTTAAAAAATATATCAAATCTTAAATCATAGTATTTAAGAATTTTCATTCAAAATATTAAAATTATTGAATGATCTTAACTTTAACTTTGAATTTATATTTTTAGCTTCAATTTTAACTAATTTATCAATTTATAAGTCAAATACTATTCAAAACACATTCTTTTTCTTGCATTAAGTATATCATTTGATTTATTTACTGTATTTTTTATCCTCCATGACCAGATTTAAATTGAATCTCAATACACTACATAAACTAAAAACACAAGAAAAAATAAATTTTAATATTAGCCAATGTTAACTTAAATACGATTTTAGATGCCCCTATATGTTATCTTTCAATAAAATAAGTCAAGTATTAAAAAAAAAAAAAGTGTAAGAGATAATCTACGTTGATTCTTATCAGAATATGATTTTTTGTTATTAAAAAAAATATAAAAGGAGTAATTTGTTGTTATTTGTCCTTTATTACTTTTACATCCATATAAAATATTTAATTTTTTTTATGCTTTCGCTTTTAGAAGGAGACTAAAATAGTAAATGCCCACGATATATATATATATATATATATATATATATATATATATATATATATATATATATATATATATATATATATATATATATATATATATATATATATATATATATATATATTAAAAAAAATTGTTGAATTCTAAATCTTAACGTAGTGGAACTGTTATATATAAGATGAAACTCTAGCAAACTGGCAAGTAATCTTGTGGTAATTAAGGTACCATTTTGAAATGGCATGTTCTGTGGCATCCATGCTCTTCGTTACTATCTGCACACTGTCCTTATTTCTGTCAGTTGCTTCTGCAGCAGCATCTGTGGAAGGAAGGACAAGACCCTTTAAAAGAGTTTATGCCTTTGGGGACTCTTTTACCGACACTGGCAACACCAAGAACGCTGAAGGTCCAAGTGGCTTTGGCCATGTCTCAAACTCTCCCTACGGCACCACTTTCTTCAACCACTCCACCAACAGGTACTCAGATGGAAGGCTCGTCATTGACTTTGTGGCTGAAGATCTTTCTCTGCCGTACTTGCCCCCTTATCGTCACAGCAAAGGCAACGACACTTTCGGTGTTAACTTTGCTGTTGCTGGTTCTACTGCCATAAACCACTTGTTTTTTGTCAAGAACAACCTCTCTCTTGACATCACTCCTCAGTCCATCCAAACTCAGATGATATGGTTCAACAGGTACCTAGAGAGCCAGGAATGTGAAGAATCAAAATGCAAAGACTTTAATGATACTCTATTTTGGTTTGGGGAGATTGGTGTCAATGACTATGCCTACACTCTTGGATCTACTGTACCAGATGACACCATAAGGAAGCTTGCAATCAGCAGTGTCTCAAGAGCCTTACAGGTAATAAATTACAACCCTTCAAGAGGTTTTGGTTTTGTTTTCTGATTTTTGTCTTCATAATCTATGTTGATCTGCATTGTAAACTTTTAATAAATGAATTGTTGAAGTAAAACTATAATTTCAATTATAAATATTGAGAACTAAAAACATCTATGCACCTAGAGTTTATTGTTCTAATTGGCCTTTTAGATCGGGTAGTTAAAACTCAAAAACTTGCAATTTGGTGTACAGATCGTCGTATTTCAATTTCATTAATTCCTTATTTTCATTCTTTGTTTTGCAGGCATTGCTAGATAAGGGTGCCAAGTACCTAGTTGTGCAGGGTTTACCTCTAACTGGGTGTTTGACATTGTCCATGTATCTGGCTCCTCCTGATGACAGGGATGACATTGGATGTGTGAAAAGTGTGAACAACCAAAGCTACTACCACAACCTTGTGCTGCAGAACAAATTACAGGAATTCAGGAAACAGTATCCCCAAGCTGTCATACTTTATGCTGATTACTTTAATGCCTACCGCACTGTCATGAAGAATCCAACCAAGTATGGATTCAAAGAGGTCTTCAATGTTTGTTGTGGATCAGGAGAACCACCTTACAACTTCAGTGTGTTTGGCACATGTGGCACACCTAACACCACTGCCTGCTCTAACCCTTCTCAGTACATTAATTGGGATGGTGTTCACCTCACTGAGGCCATGTACAAAGTTATCTCTAGCATGTTTCTGCAAGGAAATTTCACCCAACCACCGTTTAATTTTATGTTGGAAAAAAAAGAGAGGTTGGGGTGAATGGTTCACTCATGAATAATGTTTGGGATTTGCTTGTCCTAATGACTTTAATGCATCTGATAATGTAACTACGAGCGAGGGAATCAGGTTTTATCTGTTGTGCTAGGTGTCCAATGCATCATACATGAGATGATGAGTATATGTTATGTTGTGTTGTATTATCTTATACTTCGTTTCAAATTGTGCTGGTTTAGATTAATTCATTTTGGAGTTTCAATCAGTTGATTTTGGGTTAATAAAGTTATTTATTTATTTATAATTTTTCTTATACGTATCCTTTTTAGAGATCTTTTGAAACTATACAAGAAAAAATAAAATTACACAGCCGTAACTTTTATTTATTCATAATTTCTCTTTTATCCATCTTAAATCTAAAACATTGATTTAAAGTAGTTTTGTTGTTTATATTTTTATAAGATTGTGTAATGATCCATTACATAAATTATTTTGTACCCAAATATTCTTAATTATTTTAATCAACAGATAATATATGTTATATATAAATATTCTCCCTTTATGAAAATTAGAGATTTTATTTTAAAAAAATAAAACTCTTGTATTATTTTTTCTTCATATAGATTCAGACAAAGTCAGAAGTTGCAGAGAAAAATAAAATAAAATTCATCAGCTTTCTTCTTCCAAATTAATGAGGGTAAGCCTCTTGGAAGTAGTGAAAGGAATTACTATTTATACCAAAAATAATTCAAAAAGGACATACCAAACCAAACAAAATTCTCCTAACAACTTTTGTCAACATTTAATACTAACCTAAATAATATCCAAGTCAACACAATCTTTTTGTATTTCATGACATAATGTTTATAATTCAAATGCAGATAAATTATTTATAAAATAAAAAGGCATAAAAAAATAAAATAATAATTTAAATAACGTTTATTAAATCAGATTACTTCACCATTCAATCCGATTCAAATAGATTGAATTGAAATTTATAATTTTAATCGGCTATCCCACCCATTAAATAAAAATTATTAAATAATTTGTAATAATATTTTATTATTTTATTATTACATTAAATAAATCTATATTTTTAAAATATTGTATTATTAAATTATTAAGATAAAAATAATTTAGTTTAGTTAAAAAATATTTTTTTAAATTAAAATTTTAATAAAAAAATAAAAAATTTGTTTTAATATAAGTTTTTTTTTCAATATTCAAAACTTATTATTGTCATGTAAGCCATTCTTATAAGAAAGTCTGCAAAATATTAAAGTGGCATTTTAATGTAATTGGAAAACAATACCAATAAACCTAAAGTTTTGATATTGTTAAGGAGAAAATTATGTAGATTACACTAGATACAATAAACATTATTGATGTCATATTGTTCTTTAATCAGAGTTTCACCTTATATAATATATGTAATAAATTTAATATGATGTAAATTGTTAAATTAAAACTTTAAATTTAATTGAAAAACAACACTAATTTGTTCTTATTAAATGAAAAAAAACCTAATACAGTATGTACTGTTGTTATTTTTCTTAAATTTGTTTATTTAGAATTTTATCATAATAATATACAATACATTTAATAACATGTAAATTATCAAACTGAAACTTCAAATTTGATCAGGAAATAACACCAACAGTAGCTATATAAGTTTAGTTCTTGGGCCACAAAAATTTGTTACCTTAAATCAAAATTCACATCTCAATAATTTTTTATATAGATCATAGATAACTTTTATAATGTTTTTTTTTAAATAAAATAAAATTATTATAGAGATTTTTTTTAATTTATCACAACTTCATATTTCAAAAAATAAAAATATAATAAAGTATCTAATTAAATAAGATACAATAACATTATACAATATAAATAATTATGATTAAAATTGTACTATTTTTTATAATATTTAATTAAATATATTTTAATTTCTAAAATTACCATTATATAATATAAATAATTACGATTGAAAATTGAACTAATTTTTATAATATTTAATTAAACATTTTTTAATTTCTAAAATTACCATTATATAATATAAATAATTACGATTGAAAATTGAACTAATTTTTATAATATTTAATTAAACATTTTTTAATTTCTAATATTGCCATTAATTAAATGTTTTTCAATTTGTAAAATGGCCATTTTCTTGTGATATCTAGATAAACACAATAATATTATTTGATGCAAGAGTGCAATGAAGGAGTGCTGGACAAACATCATCAAGGAGATTGGGATAAAAATTGACCAAATTGTTTATCATTTTGTTTTTCTTCAATTAAAATAAGTACTCGTAGTACACAAGAAAAAGAGCATCCGGGGTATATTCGGGAAGATTATTTACAAAGAGATTGAGACGCAACATATCTTCTCTGTGTATGGTTTGCATATCAATCACATCTCTACTACATGTTAGAACCCACAAATCCCCCGAATTAACTCTCTTTAAACTTCCTCGGCAAAATGGACAAGATTCTGACCTTGTGTTCCTGCATCATCAGGTGTCAAAAACATGTATTAACTGCTAAGAATAACTCCATTCTTATATCAACAATTGTTACAGGTTAATATTGAAGGGAAAAAGAGGTGATGATTACCAGTCAGTGTAACAATTTATACACATAGCATGGCAGCAATTAGGCAAAACCATTTTGGTGGAAGACTCTAAGCAAATGCCACACTCATGTTCTCCCTCCCAGTCCAAATCTGAAGCCTTCCTCTTATCCTTCTCATTCCTGGTTATCATCTCAATGTTTTGTTCATTTTCTTGAACCCTGTTTGCTTCTACTAGATCACCATGAAGACGCTGGAGTGAAGGTAATATAACACCTGCATTTGTAGATTCATGAATGCAACTTAAGTACAAAAATGGGTAACACTTTTAGTATTAATCAGTAATTAATAGAGTTTAACTTATTGCAAGTGGAAGAGAGGTTTAGTACTCAATACTTACTGTAGAACTCCCTTATGGTTGCTTTTCTTTCACTACAATACATATCTGACTTTCCATTTGTGTGCACCTAAAAACGAAAAGGAAAGAGGCTGAGATGAATACAGAATACAAATGAGAAAATTGAAGAGATTGGTGAACAATTCAGCATAGAAAAGAGAAAGGGAGAGACACTGACCTTATACACAACTACGTGGAAAAGATTAAAGTGACTAGAAGGTAGACACGAGCATGAGTAATCCATCCATTGAAACAAAAACAGAAAAATCGGTGCCAGTTTATTGTACACTAACTTCATTTGAAGGCAAGCCTCACCCTTCCCCTTTGGCATAGAAGCTGCCCTGCAGACAAAGGTTTGAAATTTAAACCAAAACTTTATATCCCAATCCAATCATCTCAACATTTATAGAATATCAATTACATTAGTTCACAAAATGAACCCACATCCCCTGCTATGCTACAATCAGAGCAAGAAAATACGAAATAGAGAAGAAGAACTCACAGCACATTGGCGTGTTGGATGTCAGCCTCAAGAGCCTTGAGGGAATCCAGGAAAGAAGGTGGTGAATGAAGCATTTGGTAATAGAGCATTGCAGAAATTTGGGATTGTGATTCTTAGGGTGAATGAAGAGAAAGGAAGGTGGAGAATAAATGGGGTCACAAAACAAAGTAAAATGGGATGGAAAATTGTTGGGAGTTGAGTCAGTTGACCAAGAAACAGACAGAGAAAAAGCTTTGTTGACCAACAATGCCGTTTCGCACAGAACACTACTATTATTCATTAATTGGATTCAACGTTATTATTTCTTCTGAAAATTCAGTTTTTGTTTGTTTTACCTACAAATATTTTAATTATCTTTCCATCCCTATATACTATATAGACTTTTTCAGTTAATTCATACTCCATTTAGTTATTATATAAAATTAATCCTTTCTTCTAATTATTTATTTTTTTCTTATTTAATTAGTTAATTAAAAAATATATAATTAAGATTGTGTAATTTATGACTATTCATATTTTTTAATTTTAACACGGGAGAGAACAATTTTTTGACTATTTTTCAGTATTTATTATATGTTTGCCAAAAATTTGTTAATTAATTAAAATATGAAAAATAATAATTAATGCAATAAACAATTTTACCTTATGAAAAATGGTAACTAATTTTTTCTTTTTAAAATCTTTTATACAGATACGGAAGGTAAGTTAAAACCTTTAAAGTTGTAAAATTCTTTATTATCTTGTTTTTGGCTTTTAGTTATTAGTCTTTCTTATGATTAGATCTTGATTTTTTATTTATTTATTATTTTAATGATGACGTAACTTGATGTTGTTTAAATAATTCAAATAAAATAAACATGATATAAAACCATAGGACAAGCGTATTATAAAAATTATAAATATATTTAATCTAAAACGCTTTAACAAATTTATGTAATTAATGAAATTAGTTAATAATATTAAAATTGATTACAATATGCATTAATTTTTTTTAAAATGTTTAACATTATTGGATTCATCATCTCATATATTTTTTTCACTTTCCATCCAATTAATTAATTAATTAGTGATAGTTATTTTTTCTAATCTCACAAAAGACAATAAATTATTACCTTACCATTCTATATTTTATAGTATTTATAGTTTATTGACTCTAAAATTTGTAAAATAATTAATATTATTTGGTTAAAAATTATTAATGTAAGAGATAATTTGAAGACATTTTATCAAAAAAATTTATTTTATTTGTTTTCAAAAGGGGTCTTATATTAAAAACTAAGGTAATGATTGTTTAGTTAGTAATGAATAAAAATTACTAATGTACATATTAACTAATTACATGAATTGTAATTATTGATTGTCTAATTAATAACGTTGAATCTATTTATAATTTATATTTTTTTAAAGTTGTTCTTAAAATTGTTTGAACTCAATATCTTACTCTGATGTTAATTAATTAAACGTGTGACAATTTATCCTTTTTAATTCTCTGAAGAATGGAAAATATATATCTAATTAGTTAATACTATATAAAAACATTTTTTACGTAAAGGGCTGATACATTTATGTAAGTATTTCCACCATTATATTAAAAATAAGTTTATACGAAGACTTAATTAAACATATGGTAATTTAAAAATATTTTTTACAAAATGAAAAATAGTTTTTTTTTTTTTAATATTTGGTGTATGTCAAGTTTACCGAGAAAAAGTAGTTCATGTTTAGATAAGAGGAGCAGTCATGGATTATCCATGAATTCAATTTAGTATTGAATTTTTTCAATTGAACCATAAATTCAACCTCTCTCTCTCTCTCTCTCTCTCTCTCTCTATATATATATATATATATATATATATATATATATATACATATATATATATATACATATATATATATACATATATATATATATACATATATATATATATATATATAAACATGTTTATGTTCTTAGATTTAACTAAATTTTCTCACTTTATTTTATTTTATTTTTTTCTTACAATATCTTAAGTTCAATTAATACATGACTTTTGATTAATTATTATTTATACTTTTTGTCCATGAAAATGGCATTTTAAAATATTAGAGAATTGATAAAAAAATTTATATAGTCAGTTTTTTCTTCCATATTAAATTTTAATTCCTCAAAGAAAATGTTTTATTATTATGACTTGTGTAATTCATTTTTTTTTAAAGAAGCGTGCATTATGTTGAGGGATAAACAGTATAAATGAATTTACAACAAAATTCTATCTCTTTTCATAAGATATTTATATAATTAATAATTAAAAAAAATAACATACCTTAAAACAATTATACAAGAATCAAGGAACAATCCATACCTCAAACTTGAAAAACAATTCATTCATTTCATATTATTATTTTCAAAGATTTAAATTATATTTTAGAATAATAAATTCGTAAATTACCATCACGGTTTTATTTTTTTACCTCAAAAACGTACTTTATTAGAATTGTTAAAATAATGTAAACTGTAAATTCATTGGAGTAAAATACTGATAAATAAAGGAATTACCACTTAACATATATAATAGGAATACACGTAATCTCAAAGAAATTGAATTATCATTTATTGTTTTATATAGAAATAGAGAACTCTATTTATAGAGTCTGATACATGAAACTGAAAGTAACAAACTATAATAGAATAATATTTTTGAATTAGTTACAACACTTTTCCTTAATTCAAACTCACAATTTTACCACACCAAGATTGCTTCTTAGATATTTAAATCTCTCATTTCTTAAAGATTTGGTAAAAATATATGTTAGTTGTTGAAGAGTAGGACAATATACCAATTTAAGCTTCCCAAAATTAACTTGTTCTCTTAGGAAATGAAATCTAGCCTCTATATATTTGTTCCTGTCATGTAACACTAGATTGTTGGCAAGATTAATTGCTGATTGTTATCAACTAGCAACTGGATGGGTTCTTCAATCTGAATCCGCATTTTTATCAATATTGAATGTAACCAAACAACTTGGCATGCTGCATAAGCTCCTACAATATATTTTGCCTCACAAGATGACAGTGCTACTACCAGGTGCTTCTTAGAGCACCAAGAAATTGGTGCTCCTATTAGCTGAAACAGAAATCCACTTGTGCTTCTCCTGTTATTTTTATCCCCACACCAGTCAAAATCTGTATAGCCTAATAGTTTTGACTGCTTCTGTTTTTTTTTTTTTTTTAAACAGAATGTCATAGCTAGTTGTGCCCTTAACATATTTGAACACTTTTTTTGCAGCAAGTAAATGAACCTTCTTTGGCAGGTGCATATGTCTACTGACTATTCCCACTGAATAGCAAATGTCAGGTCTATTATTACAAAGATACCGTAGGGAACCTACCAATTTTTAAACACAGTACTGCACACTTCTTCCTCTCCATCTTCTGTTTCACTAATTTTCACCTCTGCTGGAGTTTTTGCAGCATTGCAGTTTTCCAAGCCAAATTTCTTTAATACCTTCAACGCATACTTGTGCTGATGCATAACAACTCCTTCATCTGTTTCAACAAATTCAATTCCTAAAAAATATTTCAACCATCCTAAATTAGTCATCTCAAACTGCAACATCAATGTTTCCTTGAACTTCTCAATTCTGTAAGGTTACTCCCTATGATCAACAGATCATCCACAAAAATGCACATTAGTAACAAATCCACACTATTTTGCACCTTCACATACACTCCATGCTCTACTGGACACTTTTGAAATTCATGTTTAATCATAAATGCATCAATCAACTTATTCCAAGCTCTAAGAGCTTGCTTCAAGCCATATAAAACTTTCCTTAACCAATACACCATGTTTTCACTCCCTTTTACTTCAAATCTAGGAGGTTGGGTCACATAGACCTCCTCTTCAAGTGGCCCATTCAAAAATGCTTATTTTACATCCAGCTGAAACATAGGCCACGCTTTACTACTTGCCAAAGCCACCACCAACCTTATGGTTTCAATTCTTGTTACTGGAGCACAAACTTCAGAATAGTCCAGTCCTTGCTTCTGCAAAAAACCTCTAGCAATCAGCCTTGTCTTCCTTTTTGAAATGGTTCCATTTGGTTGAGTTTTAACTTGAAGACCCATTTAACATCAATGGGTTTTTATTAAACGACAAATCAGTCAGAAACCATGTCCGACTCTTCTCAATAGCCTGCAACTCTTCAATCATAGCCTTTTTCCACAATTCCTGATTCAATGCCTCTTCATGATTAATTGGCTCAGCTTCTGCCAGCAGTGCAAAATGCACTAGATCACCTTCATCTGTCACTGCATTATCTGGAAAAATCTCAAAATCCTCGCTGGCTTTCTCCAGACTCTTCGTATCCAGTTTCAACTCAAGAGCTTCAAGCGATCCTTGAAGTTTGTCAATTGTGATCTTATCAATATCTTTGGCCTTTTCTATTGCTACCACTAGATTGTCAAATTTCATGGACAATGTTCGCAGAATCTTTGCGACCATATTCTGATCTGTAACATTCTCACCACACATCCTCATTGCATTCACCACCAATTGCAACCTGTTATAGTACTTAGCCAATGTTTCTTGCTCCGTCATTGACAACAACTCATACTGCCTTCTAAGAGACTGGAGCTTGACTTTCTTGGTCTTTTCCACACCTCCATAAGTTTTCTGCAGAATGTCCCGACCTCTTTTGCTGTATTGACTTTGGAAATTTTCTCAAAATTGATCACGTCCACACATTGGTGAAGAAGACAACGAGCTTTACAATCTTTCTTTGTTGTTGTGTCGTCCTTCTCACGAGCACCATCTCTGACCAACTCTAAGATTTTTTGGTAACCAAAAATGACCTCCATCCATATCACACAATGATCATAGTTCTTGCCATCAAGAATTGGTAAGTTGGCCAGAAAAATTCCTCCTCTGTATGTCATGATAACACTTCTCTTCTCAACACATGTCTTAGACCATTTAACACATATAACAGGAATGCACATAATCTATATGATGAAATGTCTCAAAGAAATTGAATTATCACACACTGTTTTGTATAGAAATAGATTACTCTAGAGTCTGATACATGAAATTGA